AAATAATATATTGTAATTAATGATAATATTATTTTGAGAAATATTTCAGTAAAAATTTTTTGATAATAAAAAATAATTGTTATTTTTTTGAAAAATAATTTATAATTACTTTTTTGTTTCAATTATTTAAGAGAATAAAACTATTACAACATATTGAAGGCTAACTAGTTTATAAAACAACATTTAATTATTATTAAATTATAATTATGTGTTATCGACTTAATTTTTCATCGATAAATACTAATAAGATTGACATTATTCAGCAATTTATTAGATAATAAGTTTTTAAAAAATTGTAAACTTATAATTTAAATCAATTTTTTAAAAATTAATCTATAATATTATATGATAATTTGTATTAATAATGATACTATAAAAGTTTATATCTTATCACAGCAGCTAATTATCAATAAAAATTATTTTTATTGACCTCAAAAATCGCTTAAACAACAATCAATTATTTCTTATCTGGCAATTTAATTGGATATCTAAATAAATTTTTTGAAATAATATTAAATACTTGTGAGAGACAATTACAATAAATAAAAATCTAGAAAATTGGTGTTTAAGAGACAAAAAAAAATAAGACAAACTTTATTTATATTATTTGATACAATTTGAGTAAATCGTTAACAACAAAAAAAACAAAACAAACCTAATTTAACTTTTAAAATAATACAATAACACACACACACACACACACACACACACACACACACACACACACACACACACACACACACACACACAGATACACACATATTGAAAGTTAGTTAAATGATATATCAATTGCAATTTATTGCACCGATTTTGTTGTTGTTATTATTATTATTACTAAAGATTGACTGACACACTATTGTCAAAATCAATCCATAAAACTATTTTGTTTTTTTTGTGTGTGTATATTGTGTGTTACTATTATATTGAGAGACACTCATAGTATCACATTATATACAATATATATATATATATAACTACAAAAAATAATATTATATAAAATTAACTTTAGCTTTAAATTACTTTTTATATATATATTTCTTCAAACAAAGTCATTCATTTGACTACAATTTCTCTATTGACTATAGTTTTAAAATAATAAAAAAAACTAATACTTTAGAAAAGCTCATAAAAATCTCTCTTTACTATTAATGAGTGTCTAATCTTTTAATTTAAAATAAGTGAGTCTACATTATAATACAAGTTAGAGTACAATATTACTGTATATAATAATATAAAATAAAGTAAAGTATATATTTTATATTATAAAATTTAAGGGGTAATAAAAATCTTGTATTCACAACAAAATGCATTGAAGATAAAACAAAATTTTTATGAATTCAATTATTCATTATTATTATTATTATTATATTATTATTACATAGAAATATATATCTAATTTTTATCTAAAACTCTGAATTAATGACACATAAAATTGTTGCTTAAAAATTATTTTAATATCTTTGGTATTTAATGTTGTTTATATTGTACCATAATATAAGTTAAATTAATAATAATACATATGATATAAATCTATTGTAGTGTACACTTGAAAACAGAAAATAATAATAATAATTATTATTATTACATTTATAACTACATATTACACAATAATGTGCACACCTTTTATGAATAGCTTTAATATAACAATAAATTTTATATTATGTCCCTATCATACAACAATATATTGATATTTATATTTCCAATAAAAATACAAATAATAATATAATAATAATAATATTATTATTTAGTAGTAGTAGTATTATTATTGTGAAATGTATCATAATAGTACATAATATCAAACTTATAATAATATTATTATTAATTTTCTTAATATTTATTATTATTATAATTTCAAGTCTCTCTTAATCTTAAGCAATGACTCTTGAGTTTGACATTTTGTTGACCACACATATGTTGACTTAATATTTCAATTTATTATTAGATGTAGTGCTATATAAATACTTGAAAAATATTGAAAATCTAACTTATAATGAATATAATAATATTTATTTTCATTAGCCGTCTTTTACTAACAAGTATTTTTGATATATAGTATTTGATGAGAGATATAACTTTGAAATATAGTAGTAGTAGTAGTAGTAGTAGTAGTAGATTGCGATAAATTGAAATATAAATAAGTTATATTAATATATAAATACTACAGTATATGTATAAATATCAGTACATATTTTCCATACAATTATTGGAAATATTTTATTCTTGACTAAACTGCAAAATTTTATTTATTTATTATAATAAATTGCGATCAAAAAAAGCATTGAGTTATATCAATATACTGTATATAAGTATATATATATATATAACGCAAACTTTTAATATTACTGACCGGAGAATTTTGCGGAAAAAATATTTTAGTTTAAAATATTTTTTCCCAATATATATATATATATATATTTGTTAAAATGAATTATATATGAATGAAATAACCGCGCAGTATATATTAAATATATCTATTTTATCAGTAGAAAAAAATTACTAAATATTTCCTAAAGTAATAAAATAGTTTTTGACATAAATTACCAACAAAAATATATATAATAATAATAATATTTATCCGGTTATGTGCTCATCTATATTGTAAAGTTTGTTTATTTTTTAGAGAAAAAAAAAGTTTTTTAGTAATTTATTTTATATAAAATTTTTAGAGTTGCGTGTTTTTGAACAAATTTTATCATTTTTGTTTGTGTAATTTTAATCAATTTTATTGATTAAATTATTATTATTATTACCATTGTATATATGAAAATAAAGTTAAAAACTAATTACAAAAATTTCTATTTGCTTTTCTCTCTCTCTCTCTCTCTCTCTCTCTCTCTCTCTCTCTCTCTCTCTCTCTCTCTCTTTCAAAATGATTGATATAAATTACACGACAATTACATAACTTATTTAAATCAATAAATCTTATGAGAATATCCAACAAAAATGTGTATAAAACATATATATATATATATATAGCATAATTAATTTATCTATAATTTGAGACCAAAAATTTAAATTTTAAAAGTTAAAGTTGCTGTCAGAATATTGTTTTTATTTATATTCTGTATAATAAATAGTCATATATACTAGTATTTTAGTTAAAGTAATAATAATGATAATTAGCAAATTATTTACAATTTTTAGTTGAATAGTAAACAAAAATGTTAAATAAATTTTATAAACAAATTGATTTTTTTGAAAAATTAAATCCAATTAAAATTGAGTAAACTTTTCGTCTAACAAATCGGCGGTCATATACAGTATTGTATACACATTATAAAAAAATTTATTAAATTTCCTAAACTTTTATAATAGCAAATATAATATACTGTAATAAAGTAAACCGTATTGTATTAGCAAATTTAAAGGTAATACTACTGTACTACATATAATAAACCTATTGGTAAGCCAATTATGACAAATATTTACAATAAAATGTATTATTTATTTTTATTATCTATTTATAGAGAGAGAGATATATAAAAATTTCAAATGAATTCCTATAAAACTTGCTTAACAAATATCCTGTCTGTTTAATGTCAGTAAAATTTTATTTATTATTGTTAGTATAAGTATTATTTATTTTTTTTATTTTTATAATCATTTCAACATTTTGCACAATATTAGTCATCGTAATTTCAGTCAATATATCAAATATATTCAATATATAATTTACAAGTAATTGTATTCTTTATACACTCTATATATATAAAATAATATAATGTGTGCACAAAAACATACACAAAACGCTGTCTAATGTTTGTTTAAAATTCAACTCATCTGACGCAGGCTTTAATTTTTATTTTAATGAAATTTTTATATTCATCAAAATCTTATAAATATTCATATTTACAAACAAATTGGTATAATTTTAAATATATTTATACCAATTAGTGAGTGAGTGTGTGTGTGTGTGTGTGTGAGAGAGAGAGAGAGAGAGAGAGAGAGCATTAAGTGTTTTCTATGAAATCATATATATTTTTGTCGATAAATTGCATGAATATTTGAGTGGTTTTGTATTTCATCTGTAACTGACTATCATTATATACGACTACTGTTTAACTCATTTAATCAATGATTATAATATTATAAATAGAAAATTTTAACAAAAATAAAAATAAAATGTTTTCTGCATTTAATGTTCGCCTATTAAATCAAAGGCTTAATAATGATAAGGAAAAGGAGTGATTTTAGGAAAGTCAGTGATCCTGACATCCAAAGTGTATGGCAAGTAAAGGGGGAATTGTAGACCATTGGAAATATATATATAATTTATATATATATATATATAGATAAGTAAAGTATTATATAATATATATAACATGTATACTGTATATATAAACTTAAATTTGTGTCTAACATTTGCTTTCATTTATTATATTGTAGAGAGTATTACCTAAAAGTCAAATCGCCTGAGAATTAGATCATATATTTTAACGGATTTTTTTCTTTAACTATTTTCATGTCTTGAATATTATGTCTGATTAAAATCAATGTCTAGTTTTTTTCTCTCTCTCTTTCTGCCACTAATAGACTATTAGCAACTGTTTTTGCACTGTAATGAGTGCTGAACATCCATGTAATATATATTTAAAAAACTAAAATAAATGTTGGTCTCATTTTTCAAATATACAGCTATAATATTAATGTCTTATTAAAAAAATATAGTTATATTTTAATAACTGGATAATTATGAGTAATAATGCATTTGTTATGTTATAGTGTTATTTAACTTGTAATTTAATGTGTTTCCATAATGATATATATAAATATATTTTTATATATGATATGATACTTATAAGTTATACAGTATAACATATCATATAATAATATATTATCCATTATATGAATTTGTCATTAAATACATAAGTAATAAATTAAAAATATAAGTAATCAAATATTATATATATATATATACCGGTATATATAGTAATAGATAGATGTAATAGTATTATTATATGAGTTATATATACAATATTTAATATATATATATACTATACCCCAGTCAATGAACAGACAAGATATGCGATGCCAATGGATAGGGAATCACTGCCTAATGATTTACGGTTTGGATCCAGTGTTGCAAATATGGTGAACACAACTAGAAATGTCAGCACAAACTCTACGCCAAATATCTGCCATGAGTTTAGCTGGTCGTGCGCTACTGAAATGCCCAGTGGACCTATACCTTGATGGCCAGTCACCGATACACTGCAATTACAAACAACAAAAATATAAGACAAACAAATAATAATAATAATAACAATCAAATAAATATATTGTATATATATAATACTGAATAAAAGTAAGAGATAGACCATTAATAATTAGTGACAGCAATGAGGCGTTCAATTCAAAAGATTATTTACAACAACAACAAAGTCTATGACTAAAGATTCTGTATATATATACTGTATATATACAGAGGGATGACTGCAAATGATTTATTAGTCAAACGACTATTAAAAGTGTTGGTATTATTGTCGTTGTTGTTGTTGTTGTTGTGCTCTCAAGATTATTAGCGGAGCATTTAGTTGCATAAAAAAAATTATTTGGGTTTAATGTCTGTTACTTTTATGTCCTCCTATTTCACACCATCTGCTCAGCAATTATTTTAATTAAATATATATATATTTATATATAATTTGCATATTAAATCAGATAGAAATTCACATTATAACCAAAATATTGGTTAGAAAAAAATATATAATACACAAACAATACAACAGTAATGTACATAAAATTTTCACATTAATAATATTGATTACCAATTAGGCAATTAGTTAATTATTGTGCAAATTAAGTCATAAATAATTGAAAATCTGAAAATAATTACTGAATTATACTGATATTTTCAAAGGACACAAATACCCACCAAAAAACACATTATATATCAGTATAACTATTAAAAATTGTTTTATGAATTTAAAATAATTTATGTAATATTTTCTAAGATACTGGAGTTCCGGTTATTTTTTTAAAAAAGACAAAAGAAAATGTAAATTTATTTAAAATAATTTATACATTTTATATAATTTTTTTTTTGAAAAATTATATTTGTTTTCGAAGTTTAAAATTAAAATGAATTAATGGTTTTTGCCAGAAAAAGATCGTATGTCTGTATTGTTCACATTAAACAAAATAATACTAAAAATAAAACTTAAAACTAAAACAAAATTTTTTTTTAATTAATTATATTCTGGGATTACATTAGTAGTGTAATTTTTATTTTTAACAAAAAAAGAGTATAATAAAAAATGTTTTTGTATGTAATTTATTTTTATGACTCAAAAGAGTAGTCCTTTTGTTTTTTATTATTATATTAGATATTATTATTATTATCGGGAATTATGTGATTATTTGTTGGGCTGAATATAATACATAAATATAAAGAATTTCATACATAAAAATAGTATATAAAGATATTGTTTAATAATATATTATTAATTTAAAAGCTCCTCCAAAAAAATGCAGAGGAGGTCTAAATCATGAAATGGTATGAATGAGTGGCAATACAGCATAAAAATGTTTAAGTTATATAAAGCTATAGAGACAGTGATGATCCAACACTTACATCACTGTTATCACTAATGATAGCATACCATTGAAGATATTATTATTATTATACCAAACCATGAACCAAAAAGGCATTCATACTGCTTATGTGTATATGTATGTATGTATGTGTGTGTGTGTGTGTGTGTGTGTGTGTGTGTGTGCCTCACCCACACCTATAATTTATGAGTGTTGTGTGTGTGCTCTCATAAAACATATTAATACTGAAATGATGAGCATCGGATCGGTATTGTAGCAAAACATTTACAGTAAAGTACTAACACACAAATCAACTGTCCCTTTCATCACACATGTATTGAGGCGTTTTCCACGAAAAAAATATTAAAAAAAACTAAAATAATAATAATAGATAAGCAAAACATCACAACATCTCTAATATATAATACTATTTTTTTTGGAGAAAATGAGTAAAGAAAAGCCTCTATTTTTTCTGTTCCCATTCACTCTCTCTTTCATTTTCTTTATATAAGTTATATATACTATTATTTTTTGGTTGAAATCTTTCAATGCTTTATTTGATGCAATGATGAGATGCATTGTTGTTGGTGTTGGTGTTGATGACCATTACCTTAATCATTGAACACCAGCTTTTCAGATGCCTTTCTCCTCATCCAAAAAAATATCTATACATTAAACAAGTTATCGCTTTCAATATATATATAATATAAGATATATTGTTTGATGCCTATAGTCTCTCACTCTTGAAAATAACAAAAAATACTATTATTTACCACAAAATATCCCCACATTTAATGCCATAACATTATATAATAACATTTGGCAATTCACTCAATTTGTCAAACATTTGTTTAACCTATCATCTAATGTAAAGACAATTTAAAAAACACATTTCTATAATATCTTATATAATAAATACTTTCTGACAAATCCTTATAAAATCTTTTTCTCTCTCTCTCTCTCTCTCTCTCTCTCTCTCTCTCTCACACACACACACTCACAAAAAATACACTCACTCTCTAGACTTGAATTAAGACTCTCTGTTAATAGTTAGTACTCTTATAGTTTAAATGTATTTTTGTATTTCTTTTTTTCCCAGACATGAAAACTGATTTAATGAAACAAAATTTGAGACAACAACAAAACACACACTCACTAACTCACACACACACACACACAATGTTTGGTGATATAATTGAAAGAAAGCACCTGCACTTACATTATCATAAATATAACTTTCCTGACGTTTGTCTAAACTAAATGCCAAACGAAATACTATCTAATAGTTGTATAGCTTCTGTATGTATGTATATGTCTGTCTCTCGATGTGTTTCCACATTTATATTTGCATTTTATAACATTTGTATATTAAATTAGTTTGAATTTTTAGCAGTTGTAGTAGTAGTAAACACAATGTGTTGCTGTATATATATGTGTGTATATATCAAATATACATATATATTTATATATGATAAAATATAAGATTTAATTTGATATTTTAATTATTTTGTATTCAACATTTATAATCAGTGTACAATCTCAAAATGCTGCATAATAAATATATTTTATTATTTAATTTCTCTCTCTCTCTCTCTCTCTCTCTCTCACTCACTCACTCACTCACTTTCAATTCCAGTAAATATATATATATAAATATATAATTAAACAAATAGTAAAAATAACATACAATTATCATAACTATAATATTATACTGTATACATCATCTAATATATTAAATGATAGGGAGAGAGAAAAAAAGTAAGAAAATAAATAGTAGGAAAAAAGTTTTGCCGGGATTTTTGTTTTGAAAAAGACTATATTTATTGCAAAGTATCGGTAGTTTAGGGCATCAGTTTAATTGCAGTCAATGTCTGAATCAATACGTGCTTTACAGACAAAACACATCATTTTGTATGATCTGATACTACAGTATAATTTATATAATATATATGAGATATATATATATATATATATATAAATCCTAATGTTTATCTCCTAGTATTACCTACAGAAGCTCTGAAAAATAAAAATATTTTATCATTTGTTTTTTTAATACTTATTTTTTCTATTGGCTCTACATATTGTGTATAATTTATATGGCATTTATATATACATGTATATTATATATGTATATATACAGTAGAAAGAAAAAATTGTTAAACTATTATATATATATATATAAATTCAATAAATGAAGAGCACTTTTAGGGCATAACTCTTTAGGCTTTCTTTTTATATTTAATTTTATATTTTCATTTCCAAAACCCTAATGTTCTTAATATTAAAAGTTTCAACAAAAATATTTTAATCTATATATTATATGTATATATATAAATATATTGACTTTTTAATATATATATATATATATATATATATGACTATAAATAGAGTACCTCTTAGGAGACATAAATACAGTGAATTTTTATACTGTATATACCTTTTTATTATATGTCAAAAATGCTTTTGCATTTCTATTGCATTAAACTATTTTTGATGAAATAAGAGTAAATATTGCATTAATTTTTTTTTATATATAATATTGTTGTTTTGAATCCAATCATTTGAGGCATAAGTACATTACATTACCAGTTAGTTAGTTATATAAGGACTCAATCCTTCATTTCAGTCATTCATTTAGTCATTCATTCATTCATTCATTCATTTGCATCGATTGTGACTCAAGGGTTTGTCATAAAGTTTTTAAAATGTTATTAAGTTTTTTTTTGTTTTGTTTTATATATGTGTGTGTTTTGTTTGGTGTCTATGTCTGTCTCAATGGGAATTAACTCTCATTTTTCTTTTTAAAAAGAGTTTCGCTTAAAATGGCAACTAATTAATGATATAATAGTCGTCGTCGACTCGTATGTTAAGTACAATACATGTCTCTAACACACATACTATCTCTCTCTCCTCTCTCTCTCTCTGTAATGTCATATATGAGAGGAAAAATTTTTTGAAATGAAAATTAAAAAGATTATTTATCCTAATTTTTGATCAGTTCAGTAAATTTAATAATAATGATAAACTTATTTACTGATAATAATTAATATATTGTGATCCGATAACACTGGGTTGACAGCCACTCAACTATACTAATAATAATAATAACGGTACCAAAAATTTATTAAGCTATTCATTCATATACTGTATACTAAAATATTCATAAACTCTTCAACTTTTGTTTATATTGAATATTAACAGTATATTATAATAATTTAATTATAAAAATATTATGGAAAACTTGTGTATCAAACAAGTATTTAATAACAAAATAATTTTTAAACAAAAATCTATTTCTTTACACTTCAGTTAATTATAGAGACCTTTACTATTATATACAGAGTATGAATAAAAATAGAGTTTAAATAATAATATGATATACTTTTATATACTGTATTTAGACAATAAGTGAACGCATGATTTAATTTTGTTTATTAAAATAACTTAAATATAGATTATATATACACTGTTTGGTTAAATACTTTTGAAATAAATAATTTTAAACAAACTGTCTGTCGGTACCAAAAAATCGATTATAAAATTTTTTAATGAGTTATAATAATAATAATAAAACTTTTAATTCAGTTTTGACAACAAAATTTTAATTTAGTTTACGATCAACGATACTATTGTTGCGCTTATTATACCTAAAAGTTTATAACACATAGACTATAATTTTTTTTTCACTAAAAGTTATATTTTCAAATATATTTATTTTTATTTCTAAAAGTTTATTGTAAAGAAAATTTGAAATATTTGATTATTGCTCGCATGGGGTCACACAATATATTGAATGTATACTTTATATATACAGTATGGGATGGTATGGGTCTCACAATGTGGTTAAGGTTTGGTGAGGACAGGTCAGCAGTTTCTCAAAAGTAAAATTTTGTTATTGAATTTTTACGTATTGTTGCATTGAAAGGGGAGACCCTGGCCTCGTATCTATACAATATAAATTATTTATATATATATAAATAGTGGCTATATATATGTGTGTATTTTATGCGTTTTTCAATAATACATTATATTGTTCACTGTGTGTGTGTGTGTGAGAGAGAGAGAGAGAGAGAGAGAGAGACCTGGGATAATAGGGAGAGTGTGAGAATAGAGCCTTAAAATTGTGATTTTCATTTTTATGGCCTAACATTTCAGTAGCCATATGTGACTCTCTCTCTCTCTCTCTCTCTCTCTCTCTCTCTCTCTCTCTCTCTCTCTCTCTCCCTAACAATCCCTACGGAATGCCCTTTTTGAAGAGTACTTTAATCGATTGGGTTTATGTTAACTATTATTCAATCGACTAATAATATTGTATTATAAATTATAAATAATATTGCATTTGTTTCACTCAATACATAGAGTGTATGATATCATATATATATTCATATTTCAATTGAGCACCACTTTGTCCCAATAGGTTTATATATTATATATAGAATAATATTTCTATGGGAAACAAATCAATTGTAAATATGACTTTTGTTTGGGAAATATTATGTTTTAAAAGTTTCCTCTCTTTTCTATATATATACAGTATATATCTATCCATACACTTGTCTATAAAAAGCAACAACTGTTATATAATTAAATTATTATTATTCAGTGGTCTCTCTCTCTCTCTCTCTCTCTCTCTCTCTCTCTCTCTCTCTCTCTCTCTCTCTCTCTCTCTCTCTCTCTCTCTCTAAACATATAAAAACCTGTCGTTCAGTGATAGGCAAAAAAATTTTAGGCTTTTATTAGCACAAAAAAATAACACTCATAGTGGCTATAATCGGGACACAAAACAAAATAGTACTCAAAGTAGTGGATAAAAATAGAGTAGATTTTATTAGATTTTATCAATAAATAGAGAGACAGAGAGACACATAAAAACTAAAATAAATAAAAAGCGATTTGGATATTAACAACAAAAAAACTAAAACACACAATGAGTATCAGTTTATTATTATTATTATTATTTAGTTAAGTCTTCATTCATTACAAACCAGATTATATGTATTGACATTATCATTGAATCTCTCAATCTGTATGTGTGTGTCGTTGCACTTGTATTTTTCAGAGACACATAAGTTTTAGACATAGAAGAAATTGATATCAATAACAACAACAACAACAAAAACATAGATTATCAACAACAACGACAATATCAATGAGTTGACAAAACAATGAGAGGGGAAACAGTTAGGTTTGCAAAATCGTGCCATACATTCATTCATTCATTGATTAATTTAATCAATTATTTTTCATGCAATTCTCTCTCTCTCTCTCTCTCTCTCTCTCTCTCTCTCTCTCTCTCTCTCTCTAACTATTAAACAGGAAAAAAGTGTTAAACACAGCAACACTTGAAATGTGTAAATGCATTGGACTGTCAACTAAAATCTCAAAGCAATTGCCAAAATAAAAGTGTATTACTATTACATACTATTACTATTTATACTACACAAACACACACACAGTGGTAGTCATTCACTACTACTTTAATAAATTAGAAAAAACTACTTTGCATTGCATTTTTATGGTGCGATTTTTATGAACTTATTTGCAATAAAAATGAATAACAAATATACTGAATATTTATTGAATAACAAATACACCGAAAACAAGTATACATTTAATACACTGTAATACATAATATAAGGAATTAAAGCTTTTCTGTCGGAAAAAAAATGTTTCAAAAATTTAAATCAGTTTAAAAGCTTCAATGGTTGATAATAAAAATAAAAATTGCTAAATATTTATTTTGTTATACATTTTATTATTGTAGTTGTTGGAGACTATCTCACACATACATACATAAGTACACATAAACATAGAAGCATTGAATACAATAAACTTTATATTTTATATTTTTTTGAAGTATTTTTGGGTATTTATTTATTTATTTTAGTGTTCAACAACAGCAACAACAAAAAAATATTGGCGCAAAAAAATATATTATAGTAAAAAGATTGTTATGTCAGAGCAAACATTTGATGAGAGATTGAATGCTTTATATATATATGTAAAAGTATATAAGATATATATATATATATATATATATATATATGTTTAAGAAAGAGATGTTTGGTGTGTATGAGAGAGAGAGAGAGAGAGAGAGAGAGAGAGAGAGAGAGAGAGAGAGAGAGAGAGAGAGAGAGAGAGAGAATGTATACCTCCTGTTGTGTGAACCTAAGCTTATGGAGCTTTTAAAAACTTAGTCTGCTTTTCATGTAATATAAGCAACAACAGAAAAATCCTCCTAAAAATTTTTTTTCTCATACTTTTTCACATTTTGTTAGAAATTTTAGTGAATAAGAAAAAACCAAACGACAAACCATCACTAATAAGGAGTCGACGACAACGACTAAACTAAAAATCGACACAAAACTACAAAACTATTTGACAGAAAAAGCTAAAAAAAAACTCTGAAAGTCTGAACTCCCGTATTATTATTGTTTAGTTAATAGCGAGTATCAGGTTATACACCGACTACTACTATACGTATGGTTTATCAATATATTTGTTATTTGTGTGTTGACTTGTCATCCAATATATAAAATTTTTGTTATATATACTGTATATTAAGTGTGTCTGAAAATGTCTTGAAACTCATGTAAATTGAGTTAAAATGTCATCCAATTTATACGTTTTATTTATTTTTTGCATAAGTTTATCATTTGAAACATGTTTTTGTTGTTGTTGTTGCTCTTCAGTGACACTAAAATATATTTCATATAATATTTATTTATCAAATATGATATTAAAGGGAATTTCTTTTCCGATAAAAAGATAATTTTAATATACATGTTGTAGTGTATATAAGATATTGGATACACAAATGGTTAGCACTGGTATATCTGGTGCAACCAAATCATATAAGGCATCCCTTTGAGGCAATTTAGTTGTGTATATTGATTGATTTCATCCCTCAAAAAAGTGAATGACATAAAAATACACACATACAGTACATATACACATATACTGTACATACATAGCATCACTACTAGTCTTTTATAGCAATACATCACTTAATATACAACTACTATATATCATATATTGACTTTTCTATTAAATAATGTCTGTCCCTATCAGTCATTATCATGTAAAACACAAGTAATTGGATCACAGCTTTTGAGCAAATAATTGCCAAAATTTATATATATATATATACCGTATATCTTATCTCTCATTTAATTGCTTAACCGTTATTAAACAACATATATACACACAATAGAGACCTTAATATTGATTTACAATGAAGTAATTAAATTTATGTTAAACTAAATTTGCATCAATTATTTTGATCGTCAAATTCAATGCATAAACAATGACTTTTTGTTTTGTTTGTCATTTGTATTATTATTATTATATTTTTAAAAAATGTTATTTTATTATACTTGTAGTTAAGTTATGTTATGTATAAAATTTAGTTTCTATTGTTTTATATGTTAGCAATTGAATAATAGATGCATTAAAATGAATAATGATATGCAACTCTCTCTCTCTCTCTCTTTCTCTCTCTCTCTCTCCCTCTCTCTTTCTCTCTCAGCCTCTGTCTGACCCAAAAAACTATGGCTCAAAAGTATTGTAGAAAAGATAACACACAAAAAAATAATAAAAGACAATTTCGGTATACATTTCGGGTGAAAATCCTAAAACCAAATATAAGTCAAACAAAAAATTGATTCCTAAGCCACACACACACACACACACACATACACACACATAACTGAGTCATAAATAAATAAATATAAAAAATAAAGACTAAAAGCAAATGAAATATAGTGTGAAAATATCTCTGCAAATCTCAGCAAATGAACTATTTTTTATTATATTTAACAGACAATAAAAATTTTAGACACATTTTTCACTTATTTTTCTCTCTGTCTTTCTTTTACTCTTCAAAAAACTCAAGTATTTATAATATATATATGTTTTTCCCTTTCATTTTCATTCATTGAGTGATTGTCTTTAAGTAAGCATTAAAGCAAATAATATATTAAATATATTAAAGAAAATAAATTGCATTTTTTGTGGAGCATAGAAAAATTTGAATTATATTTCATCAGTGAGCTGTCTAAATGGCACAGTTATGTTGACAACAATTGTAGGCCAGCATTATTAAAGTCAAGTCGGAGGACATTATAATAATTGAGTGAACATTAGCCTAAACTTCACTTATTCTTTGCCTATCAAAAGTCATTGCAAGTCATTGTTGGTAATAATAGTGAAGGAAAGTAATGGTTGGAAAACGATTCACTCGTTTTATTACATGAGATGTGCCTTTTGATGGCACAAATGTGACGGTGAATGGCTTAGACTTATATAAAATTATATAATAAGTCAGAAAGTTATTTATTGTTATTAAAAAATAAATGAAAATAAGTACAAAAAAATCTAATTTCTTACCCATAGAGTAGTGCCGCGCCGGCAATGGATCCGCCGCACTGTGCAATCACATACAGGAGTGTCCTCAGAGGGGTTATCTTAGAGGTGACAAACAGTGCACAAGTGACGGCTGGATTGACGTGAGCACCGCTGATATGTCCAAAACACTGCGAAAGTGTTGCCATTGCACAGCCACTGGTCAACGACATGATTAGCCAATTGGGCTGATAGGCTAAATGAGAGCCCGTCCATGATATATGTGTAGCACAGAGTAAGAACACATAGAAAAACGATGACAAACACTCGGCAATGATAGCCCTCCAGAATTCAAGTGTCCGCACTTCGTCGGTCATCTGTCGGCGACGATTGGCCTTAATTCGGGTCGTGTCCAGCCGTGACATTAGATGCAGAAATATCTGTTCATTGGACAGTGAGCCCAGCTTTGGTGGTGTCATTATTGTCGGTAAATCGGTTGGGATGACTGACTGACTCTCGCCAAACAAATATTATTAATTGATAGGATATACCAAAACACTAACAGCTATTTGTTATATCTTTGTAACCAAAGCTGCTGCTGATGATCAATGCCTAAAGGATTTACCCAATGATTATCGTTTTGAGTCCATATATATATATAAAAGCGTTATATATTAGTAGTAGAGATATAATATATCGCTGAACCAATTGATTTAACGCCAATACGTGAGCCACACATAAAACTATTTGAAAGGTTTTAAGGGAAAAAAATGAGAAACAAAACAAAAAACTTGATATAAAAGTTTCTGCGATACGACTATTGAAAAAACACACTCAATTGATATCAACAAAAATAACTTTGTGTTTGTATTACTTGTTAGTCCCCATTTAAAAACTAAATTAAAAGTTTTGTCACTACTTTTTTTTATTATCTCTAGAAAAAATTACATTTATTATATTATCTCTTAAATATTTGTGTTTATATTAAATTTCATGTACATACTAAAAATATATTATAGTTTTAAACATTTAGTGCATTAATAATATTTTTGAAAATAATTTTCCCCATTATTTTAAATATTAATTTATTAATAACTTAATGCAAACTATTAATAATATAAAGATTGTAATTATATGTGTGCAGTATTTCCCGTCTCCTAATATAACGTGAGATCCTCTGTGGTAATACTAGCTATGGGGGACTGGATATACATTTTTTTTTACTGAGAATACTAGTTTCTAACCTTCCGGTGTGCAGTGCACTTGTATTTTGGGGGTATATATGTATAATATATATATTTGAGAGAAAGAGAGAGAGAGAGAGAGAGCGAGAGAGAGAGAGAGAGTGTGTGACAGAGAGAAAGAGTGAGTGAGTGAGTGAGTGAGTGAGTGAGTGAGTGAGTGAGTGAGTGAGTGAGTGAGTGAGTGAGTGAGTGAGTGAGTGAGTGAGTGAGTGAGTGAGTGAGTGAGTGTGAGAGAGTAAAATCAAAGGAAATATTAAGAGAGGAATGAGATGTAAGATCTGTGGGAATCAACTGTCGTCTCCAAAGGCACTGAAAGAGATTTTCGCCACAAAAAAAATCTTATGAAATAAAAACGTAAAGTAAATAAAATAAACTGTCAATTGTTTGTGACTTTAAGCTATTTTCTCTTTTTTTAAAAACCACTAAAAAGTACTGTTACGTCAAATTGGTGGTCAGTTTGATGAGACAATTGACTTTTATTGTATTGATATATTGTTTTTTAAAAGTATTGTACTATAACTTCAAAAGTCTATATATAGTACAAACAAATCGATATCAAATTTAAATTAAAAATTAATTTATGAGATATAAAAAAAATATTTATTTATTTTTAAATCTAGCGTTAATTAAGTAATTAATTAAATATTATTATAACATAAATTATTATACAGTAAATTAAGTAATTTTTTTTAACATTTCAGTAATAATAATAATTTTTTTAAATAGTAAAGTCTATGAAAAAAATTAATGAAATATTATATTTTGAATTAAAAAAACTTACATTTTTTCTCATATCTGGTGTATTGAATGAATCTTATATGAAGACTACTTTATATTCTGAACCATTGAATCAATTTTTCATAAAATAATAATAATAATAAAAGCTTTTATTTACGATGGGATTGAAAATATTTAACCAAATATTTTTTGAATCTTTTAGCAGTGAAAAAATATTACAGTAATTATTTGCTTCAAAAGATTGTCTTCAAAACATATACACACACGAGTCGTCTATCATTATATAAGTATTAAAAATAATTATTTTTTTTTACTTTCTCCTCAACAATAAGTATCTGACAATTCACTTACAGTGTAAATGATATACTGTTTTAATAAATTGTATGTATATTATACTATAATTGACCGGATATTATATCTGACAATTGTTTAGTAGTAGTGCACCGGTTATTATAGTTGCTGTGACATACAAGTTGTGTTTCAGTAAAAATACTATAATAAATACATATACAGTATATATATATATATCCTATTTTTGTGTAGTAAAAGTGTAGTTAATTAATATTAATTGACGGATCAATTGACAGATACAAACGGCTTTGAATAAAAATAACAACAATTGCAATGAAAGACCAAATTATTATTATTATTACCACAAGAATATTCTTTTGATTCACAGCAACAATAATATTACATATAATAAAAAAAAATTTAAGTCAAGTTGTGGTATAAGTTATACCGTATAAACTGGTGGTGCAGTCAACGCACCCACACATACATACAAACAGAACTACAGCAGGAATTGCCACTAATTTGTTAGTCGACAGACGTTTACACTCCAACACTCATAGCATTACTACTGTCGAAGACATTCATACAGTGAATGGTCTCACAGATATAGACGAGAGGAGAGCTCTGTTAAAGAGAGAGAGAGAGTGTGAGAGAGAGAGAGAGAGAGTCAGTCAAAGGCATAGCCAAACAGATACTAGTTTTTAAAGCTAACTCTTATCCATATATTATCTCAGACCTCATATATGAGGCGCCGTCTACTGAATCAGCCGTTCACTAAAACACATAAATCTCTCTCTATTTCTTTCTCTATATGCTTGGGATTAGTTTTTTTGGTTAAATATGATATATATTATATATTATCGATTAGACAATTACCTATTATACTGTATAATTTATGAACATCAAATCAGGCTTAAGCAAGTGAGTAGGGTAGGATATAGGCAATTTTTCACCTCCTGAGATCACGATTTTGTGATATACCCCCCCCCCATCACCAAACATGAGACTTAAAAATAAATAGAAACTGACCCACCTCCTAAGCTTTTAAAAATAAATTTTAATAATATGTTTTTTATCGGTTAATTTTAATTAAATTATTAAATAAAAATAATTTCAAAAAAGCTTCAATATCTCAAAAAATATAGTAGGTAGTTAAATTATATAAATGTCCAAAAATAAACTAGATACAATAAAATAATTAAATAAATGTTTTAGGATTTAACCTTGAATTGTTTAAATAATGTGCAAACTTAATGCAAAAATAAAAATTTTAAAATTCATTAAAAAATTAAATATCTAAATATTTGATAAATTACTCTATTTTATTAAATTCTATATTTAATCCAAAATAAATTATCTATTGAAATTAATTTTCAATTTATTATAAATTTTAAAACATTTACTAAAATACATTTTTCTATTTATAAATATTTTTATTATTAATACAGTTGTTTGTTTTGATACTATTTTTCATAATTTATTTGTCAAAATTTATTTTACATAATATCTAAAATTCTATATTAAATAGAAAATTGTTTTATACAGTATATTAAATATAAAATATATAGAGATTTAACTTTTATTAAAATTAAAACTATTTTGTTTTGTTATTTTGATTAAAAAGTATTTTATATTTATATGAATATTACTGTAACTAATTTTAATATAATTATAACATTTTTTCAGATAATTTAGAGTTTAATAGTTTTTTTTAAATACATTTCATTTTCATAAGATATTTAACAGTAAAGTGAAATCAATTGTCTTTTTATATAGTTTATCAAGCTAACTAATTTAAATTAATTGTTTTTGTTATACAATAATATGTAGTTTTTTTTTGCCATTTTGCAAATTAATTAAAATGTGTATAATATATATATAAGTGTGAGAAATAGGTGGGATGACTGTAAATTAAGGTCAACACCAAAATATGACCATAAATTGTGTGTTTTCTTTCACTTATTTTTAGGTTAGGTTTAGCCCTAATGTTTTGTTTTTCAAGGATAGCTAATATCGTATTATTTTGGCAGACATTTGATTGCCAGACAAACACACGTAATGTTTATTTCAGTGGAAAAATACATATTTTCTTATAAACTTATTTACTGTATTTTACTGAACATAAAAAGTTTTATAATGATATAACTGTTTTTGTGTTAAACAGTGTTACATTTAGCACCGGGACCTTAATATTTAGTACTATATAATTTCATCAATCATTATATGACCGCACAAATAGAGGCCTACTATAGATTTTACCTAAATTTTTAGACAATATAATAGTTTTCTGAGAATTGTAAAAATTTTAGAAAACATTTAGAAAATTGTTTTTTTTCTTTTATAAAACTATCAATTTATATATTTTAGAAATAATAATAATTGATTTTATTTTGTGATCATTTTTTACAGATAACAAGAGTTTAACAATTAATTGTTATTTTAAATGTCATAATACAAAACATCTATTAATATAACAAAAAACAAAATAAAAATTAATTTTAAATAGAAAATTTAATTCAATTTTAATTGATTACTTTTATTATTAACTATGGATTTGTTTTTTGTATCAAATGTTTAAACTATTACCAATGATATAATTGTTTTTAATTTTTATCTTAAATTGTAAGATAATTACGACAATAAAAAAATAATTTATTATACACAATTATTATAAAATTAAGCTAAAAATTAGTAATAAACAAAATTTATTGTTTTAGAAAATAATTTTTCCAATCTCTCAATCTTTTCTCATTTAGTTTTTTATTTCTATAACTTTATTAAATCTATAAATTTAGACATAAATTTAAAATTATAATTTAATTTGATTTTAGACATAAGTCAAATATCATTAATGTCATCAAAATTTTTTTAAAAAATTTGTCAAATTTAACGTCTTAATTGCATAACTATAGATTGTATCATATATTCAATAGATAGTTATGTATATAAAATAAATTTTTTAAAAATTGACATTTTTGTGCACATTTAACATTGCATGCAATTTACGTCTAATATCTATTATTTTTATTTGTAGATTTATAGATTTATCATTACTATTATATCAAAAATTTTTATTTCTATTTTCTGCAAATATATAATAAAAAAATAAACTTATTCAAATAATAAATATATGCTGTATATAATATAAATGAAAATTAAAATCAATACAATGATTAAAGTATTACTGATAAAACATTTTTTATTCAAATATTTGCTTCAAAAATCAATATATATTTAAATAAAAATAAATTTTCTGTTTATTTTTCAAAATAAAGTGTCAGATTCAGTCAAATATTTAGATTCATGATTAAAAGTTTGATAAACCTATTTATATTTAAACTATTATATTCATGTTTTTTGTTACAAAAAAAATAAAAGTTGTCTAAATTACACAAAATAGTAATAAACAAATAATCAAAAAACAATTTAAGCAGTTTTAGCAGTGTTTAGTTTAATTAACATTAAATATTTCTTATGTATACAATATATATAGTCTATACTTTATTATGTAATATATATTACAACTATTGACAAATGATTTAAATGATAGATTATACGATATAATAGTTTTGTCGATATACTGTATAAATAATATATATATATATATATGACATATGATATATACACTGTATATTATACAACATACAAACAAAAACACATATATATATAAGTTTAACAAATGATGTTAAGACAATTTTCTAAACCATTTAATGTTAAAATTTATAACTCAAAATACATACAGAGGAGGGGTTTTTCACTATAGTATAATGTTTGCTAAAAATGCATTAAGCAGTGAAAACAAATACAGATTATTTTTAACAAAAAAAATAAAATTAACAACAATTTAATTATGTTAATTATGTGAATATTTAATATTAAATTAACTATCTAATTTTGACATAATTATTACTTGAAACTATACAATGTTAACTGAATTTTTAAAAATTTTTCTATTAGAAATTTACTTAATATACAATAATATATAAATGACTTTAATACATATAAATTCAATATTTCTAATGGTTGAATGTTTTCACTGTACATATTTAAATCCTTAATATTAATAGTATTAAAGTATTAAGTTAATACTAACAAAAAAATAATTTTAATTAATGATTAATTTTTAAATAATAATATACAAAATTTAACAAAATTAAATTAATTAAATTAATACTAAGCAGTTAATTTAAATTATAAAACATTAATATGTTTATATTTAAATTATTTTCAATAATCTTATTTATAATCATTTAATTAAAAATGCCATATAATTAATTTTGTTATTTTTTAATGCATTATAAATTTTATAAAATTTCTATTAGAATTTAAAATTTGAGCATCTATATGAGCTAGCTCAAGTATTTAATTTAATTTAAATATTATAAAATCTCACTACAATTTTAATATTTTTTATATTTAGTATAATATACTTTTAATAATATAAATAGTATATATAACTTATATTTAAATTACAACAACACGTGTTTATTAGTGGACAACAAAAAATAATAAGATGATAATTTAATGTATATTATATTTTTTTTGTTAAAAACAATTTTATGTATTTTTTTATAAGAAAAACAAAATATTAAATGCATATAAGTTTTCATTTAAATAAAAAATATGTAAATACAGCATTTGTAAAACAACAAAATGATTGTTAAATACATTGTATTATATATTTTTAAAAAATTTATGCATTACTTTCACTAAAACACAATGTTTTATGATTTAGAAAAAAATATTTTATATGCAAATTATTATAAAATATGTGTTTTAAAAGCCAAAATAAAACTAACTTATAAAATACAATAGCAATAAAAAAATAAAGAGCCGGTGTTTTTTAAGACAATAAAAATTGTTTAAAATAGCAATAAAATTCAAATATTATTATATAGCTTAGTTTATTTTTTTACAAAAAAATCCTAGTTTAATTAATTCACATAAATATATATTTATATAAATATAAAGGTAATATAATGTAATTTTCACAAAAAACATATAAATGATATAATAATAAAAATATTATTTTAAAATCTAAAAATACCTAATAAATCAATTTAGACTTTTAAGAGATAAATATATACTATTATTATTGACTGTATTTGTTAAAATATTATTTTTTTTGAGATCAATTGTCTAACCAAATAACCCAGGTGTATTTTTTCCATTGAAAAATATAATTATTAACATTTTAAGCCATAGAGAGAAATAGTCCTACTTATATAATGGTATTTTTTATTTATGTGTAAAATTGTAGACAGGGATTGAAAAACGTGTAGCAGGGTAAACAAGGTTTCTATTATAGGAGGGGGGGTAGTACAGAGTGAGATAGCAAAAATCACATAAAAAATCTTAGTGTATTGAGTAAAATATAAATTTTTTTGTTGCATTTCAAAAAAATAGTTAAATTTCAAAATCCGAATAAATTTTTGTATGAGTTTCAGAAAATTTTTATGAAAAAATGAAAACAATTTTTAGGAAACAGATATTCCCAATAAATTGCCTCAAATTATTTACTTATAACTAAAATTTAAAGAATATTTAATAAAATAAAATTTATAACAAATAAAAAACAAATATATAATTTTAGATTTTATTATTTTAAAAACATATTTGAACATATAATTTATTTCTAACTTTTAAGTTACATATTTTAATGAAAATACTGATATATTTAAATCAATATAAACTTAATTTTAATACTAATACTTAATTGAAATAAGATATAATAATAATATAATAAAAATTATTAGCAATTGTGAGTAAATTAGAAATTTAAGGGATTAAGATTTTAAGGGGGGGGGTAAAATGCCTTTACTCCATACATCCATACCCATAATCTAAGGTGTGCATAACACTATGTATATATATTCAGGTATTTATATAATACTTTATGTATTGATAGACTACACAACCCCCTTAAATGGTCCGCTGCCAGTGCCAGGGAGAGAGAGAGAGAGAGAGAGAGAGAGAGAGAGAGAGAGAGAGAGAGAGAGGGATAGTACAGTAAGTGAGAGGACTACAGTATACTTGTTTATATGTATGAGAGATGAGCTCCGGTTTTAGGACCAACCCATACATAGCACACGGCTATATCCGAGAGAGAAATAGATAGAGAGAGTCAACGATTGTGCTGTTGTACTGTCAGTGCTGTATAAAGTGTTGTACGACTTGAAGTGCCAGTGATTTTTTTAAACAACAAGTGTAAGTGCTTTGTGTGTGTGTATGTGTTGTGTGCTATCATTAGGAAAGTTAGTTTTTCACAAAATACCGATTCTGTATACTTATGATCGCTGAAAAAGACTCAGTCAAGTATTCAACCGTAAGTCACGTTTGCCTCAAATAGTATTGATGAACAATAGTCAGGTAATTGTCTACTAAGTGTGTTATCGATATATATATTTATAGATATATTATATATATATATATATATGACTAATAAAATTTTTGTGTATATTTAATTTATATATGATATATAAGTTATAAATATATTTTTAACTCATAAATCGGTAAATATTTACACTCAATAATCTTTAAAATCTATTCACTATTAAAACATTAAATTGTTTACTATTGAAAGACATATATAGTTTGTTGTTATTGTTGTTCAAACATAGTTTTGAAAAATATATCCATTTATTTGATTCAAATATTCAATAGCATAAAATTTTTTAAACAATAGATTTTATACAATTAATATATTTTTTACTATTTCCATAAAGTTTTATACAAATGGTATATTACATTATATTACAATATAATATACCTATATTATTTTTGATTCAGTTAAAAAGCTAATTTAAATTAAACAACTAATAATTATATAACAATTGCTAGTAATAGTTATATAACAATTATTTTTAGTGAATTATAATTAAGAAAATAATAATAAAAATTAAGATGTTTCCTATTTAATAATTAAGTTTGCCAAGGTAATAGTTGAATATATAATTATGTTTATATGTAATTAATCTTTTAATAATAAATTTTATTATATAGTAGTATCAATTTTTTTTCAAGTATTTTTAAGATAGTAATTATTACAATAAGAAAAAAGTATACTGTATTTTATTCAAACATTGCATAATAATTATATGCATGTATTCATTTATGAAAATTATATAAAACTATTTTATTTTTTAATACAATTTTTTACATATATAAATTTATATATATATACATGTATACAGGTATATATATATATATATATATGCAAAATTAACTAGTTAGATTATTTAAGCAATTATGTAATTATTTAAATATAGTTTGTTGTTTATTACGATTTTGTTGTTGTTTAGCATTTTTACTTATATTTATATAAAAATTTATTTATATATATAACTTTATATATAAAAACTTACATTTGGTTGCCGCTATATATATATATATATAAAAGGGCCTTACATTAATCTCGGGCACGCGGTTTTTGCTATAATTATTAAACGAACTGAGATATATTAATTTTGTAAAAAGTGTATTAAAAAGTGATTTACGCGTGATATTATAAATTATTTAATTTTTAATTTTGATCACGTGATCATATTTATTCTTGGACGTTTGCAAACCACTATGTCATAACCTATACTATAAATGCTAGAATAGAATTTCAATAGTAAGTTTGTAAAGCTTAAACTGAAAATTTATGGGAAGAAAAAATTTTTAAAATTGGTCGAAGAATAAATTTTTATGGCTTTTCAAACTTGTGGAAAAACACATTATATAAAATCGTGGAAAATAAAATGACGTTATTTATGGACAGTAGACACTTATTAGATAGAGATATTAATACTATTGTTTATTCTGAAAACAATATTTTACTATGATAAATAATTTTTTAGATAATCAAATTTAATTAAAAATTGCATTATCGAAATATAATGTTGTGTTTTTTATTGTAATTTAATTATCTAAAAAAATATTTAACATAAAAAAAATTTGTTTTCAGAATAAGCAATAGTATTAATATCTCTATCTAATAAGTGTCTACTGTCCATAAATAACGTCATTTTATTTTCCACAATTTTATATAATGTGTTTTTCCACAAGTTTGAAAAGCCATAAAAAATTTATTCTTCGACCAATTTAAAAAAATTTTTCTTCCCATAAATTTTCAGTTTAAGCTTTACAAACTTACTATTGAAATTTTATTCTAGCATTTATAGTATAGGTTATGACATAGTGGTTTGCAAACGTCCAAGAATAAATATGATCACGTGATCAAAATTAAAAATTAAATAATTTATGATATCACGCGTAAATCACTTTTTAATACACTTTTTACAAAATTAATATATCTCAGTTCTTTTAAGAATTATAGCAAAAACCGCGTGCCCGAGATTAATGTAAGGCCCTTTTATATATTGTATATGACCTTCAATTACCTGTATTACAATATAACAACATTTATAATGCATTTCTCCTTAAAAAGACTGGTTGAGAGAGCACAGGGATTATTATTTTTTGGTGGTAGAGATAGTGTAAGTGAATGAGTGAGTGAGGGATGAGCAATGCATTGCATTTTTACAGCTCCAGTACGGCATACACTTTGACAATACCTGTGCTAACTGTGGTAAAGCATTACAATATAAATACTGTATATAACTTTATGATAACATTATTTTTTCTATACATATAAAAGTTTCTATCAATTTTTATTATATAAAAGATAACTTTTTGTGTGTGTAAATTTTCCTACAATTTCTATTGGATATTATGTTTTTAAAATGTTTTATATATTGTAAAAAATTTAATGTGTCTCAAAATAACTATAGTATTTAAATTTAATGTAATATAATTTATATTTCTCATATTTTTAATTAAGTTGTATTGAATGATATTTTTGAAATAATTTTATTTTATTGTTGAAATAATTAGATCAACAATGTATTAATTTTTAATCTTTTTGTTTGTTTGTTTGTTTAATTACCAGAGCTCTAACCAACTGTATTTGTGACTTTATAAATTGTTTAACAAATTATAAATTTAGTTAAATTTTTAGTTATAATTAAAAAAAATACATTCAGCAGCAGATATACCGAGCAAATGATGTAATGTCAAAGATCTATAAGAAATAACAACAAAAAAAACATCAATTGAATCAAACAATTGAGTTAAACAAGTGATAACTCCGATTTAGTTTTATGTGATAACTGTCCCTTCAATGTCCAAACTCGACGCCAAACATTACTTAACAAATGGCTTATCACGTGATACGTTCATCGATCGGTTTGGTCAGACCCGAGACCACGTATTTCTGGACACAAATCACACACAGGATAACATGAGACAGGTATGTCAATCATTCAATACTCTCTCTCTCTCTCTCTCTCTCTCTCTCTCACACACACACACATACTCTATCAGGACTACTCTCACACAAATTTTAGGTCCCGAAAAACACATACCTATTAATAGCCCGAAGCGCTAAATCCTAATATCAGACACCATTGCTTTGAGTGGATGTCTATTCCCATACATAATAATAGTACAGTCTATGTGTAAAAATCAATTAATAATAAGGTGTTTGTAATACACACTATAAGTAACTTATACAATATATACATATAAATTATACAGTACATTATATGATATAAATATATTTATATATATATATATATTAAATTTTATGAAAACTTCATTAAAAAACATTTGAATAAAAAATTAAATTTTATTTATATATGATATACTACAGTATTTAATTATTGTTTGCTGTGACGGTCATTACAAACATTATAATTACTATTTATTATTATTTTCACGATTTACTAAATAGTCTTATGTAATACTCATCATAAATTTAAAAATAAATAAATAATATTTGCAATGTTTATATGTTTTTTCTATTTAATAAATAAAAAAATACATACAGCAGTACATAATAAACTATTTTTTTAACAATAAATTAATAGACAATGATTTCAACTCAATAGTTAATATAATAAAATCAATGTTATACAAGATTCTCGATTTTATTGGAGGGGGGGGGGTAATTGAATTGAAGTGTTTAATTGAAATTAGTTATAAAGTTGATAAATAAAAATTAATTATCCATTACTTTGTAAAATTTTAGGGGGGGGGGTTGATTTTTTTTCGAAAATTTGGGATAGGTGTAAAATAAAATAAAAACTTGGTCTTAGGGGGGGGTAGGTAAAATGCATTTAAAATGTTTTTTCACTTTCTATTTAATAATGCTTTTAGTTTTAATAAGTGATAAAAACAAAATTGATTTTTTTGTAAACAAATATAATTATTTATTATTTACATTTTAATTCACGTTTACAAGAAATTATAAAAAATATATATTACATTGAGAAAAAAATTATTATCATTATTAATAATATTATCTATTCATATAATTTTTTTTCTTCAAAAATTTTGTTGTTGTATAAAATCTTTGTATAATATATAGTATATAAGTGTTTGTAAATACATTATATACGTTGTGATGAAGCAATTTGTAAAATAACCTCAATTTTGTTGTTTTATTATTAACAATAAAATGCGAGAGAAATTATTATCATCAGTAAATAAAAATTAAATAATAATAATTGTAAAAATTATTTGTGTTTATTATTATTATTATTATTATTTATGATATTTGAAGTGAGGAACTGAATATTGAAATTGAAATATAATAGTGAAATGGTATAATACGGGCTTATGTATGTATGTTTTTTGGTGGTAATTGTTTATTATTTAATAGACACACAACTTTTACATTTAATAAAACGGATAAATTAATTGTTTAGCAAAAAAAAATATATCTAATTTAATTACAAATGGTTGAATATTTTTTCACGTAAATCACAATAACAAAAAACTATTTTTTTTAACTATAAGGTATAAAAATTTTTTAGCATTAAATTGAGTATTTTGTGTATAATAGTAATCTTTATTTTATAAGTGTGTGAAAAAATTTAATGGTTTTAAATGTCAAGTGCCTTATGAGAGGTAAATGAATGAAACATTTTTAAATATATAAATGTTTTCCTTTAAAAAAAACTATAAATTAACATTTGTTGTGAACTATTATGATTATTATCAAAAAATAAACGACAATTATATAATTGCAATATTCATTCACAATAATGTAGCCAAATATATATATTTATTTATTTATTTATTTATTTATATATGATATAATTTAAAAATTAACAATAACATTATATTTTAGCGACAGTCCATGATTAAGTTATAATAGTTTTGTTATGTTTTCTTATTGCATAATAAATTTGAAGTTTTAATATATAATATTATGCACACATACTGTATATACTGGTATAATAATGTTTATCATTGTCAAGCTTTTTAATATTTATAACAGTAATCATTAATATGTATATACAGTTATTTATGTATACAATATATGACTATAAATGTTTTTTATTTCCTAATTTTCTAATGAATAGAAAATTATTTTTGATTTGTTTTATCCGAAACAAAATAAAATAATTATATTATTTTTTTATATAATATAAAACGCTTAAGAATTTAGCCTTCAATTCACATCTGATAAGTCATGCTTTAAGTATTTTATATGCAAATCATATACCAATTATATATATATTTTATGTTTATTTGTTTAAAATATAGTGAATCTTCTCATTTAAAAATAATAGCGATAATTATTTGTCATTTATAACTTATTTTGAGGTCGTTTAATATCTTTGTATTTCTCTTTTATTTATTTAAAAAACAAACAAAAATCAAAATTATTATTTTAAAACTATTGATTTATATATATATATATATAAATGAAAATTATATATTCAAATGATTAGTTTTGTATAATTTATGTTTAAATTAAAAAATAATATGCTATTAAATTAGAAAGCATTTTATATTGATTTAGTACTGTATTTAAAAATATCAAAAAATATATCTTATTTTCTTGTTGTTATTTAATAGCAATGTTGTTGGGCTTATGTTATTGTATGAAATGATTATCATTATTATTATTATTATTATTTACCCATTGTATAGACAGATAAGGCCTCGAGAGAGAGAGAGAGAGAGAGAGAGAGAGAGAGAGAGAGAAGTTATATGTGTTTTAAAAACAACAAAAATCTGTGGGTTGTCTTCTCAGGGGATGATTTCAAGTTTGTTGCCTTGAATTGTGTGATGAATATTCAAATCACTTAAAACATTTAGATCCCTAATCTCGACTTGAAATCAATAGGAAGTAATGTTTGACTATTTTTCTCTTTCAAACTTACACTCACTCTTAGTTTATTACTGAAGAGAGAGAGAGAGAGAGAGTATTAAAAATAAATATCAAATCTCTCAAACATTTAATCTGATGTTCAAATTATTGAGAGATTTTCAATATTGAGAATTTTGCATTGCTTTCTAATTTTATTTTTTAAGAAACATAAGTTTGATACCTGTATAGTGATATAAAAAGAAAAATAATAGCAAATAATTATAAGGGATTGTACTGTATTTATAATTATTTGCAATACAGGTAATAACAATTTGTATATTATTAAGCATTTCAAGCTTTTTTTCACGAGATATAATTAGAAACGGTTTCTATTACTAACTAATAAATTTTACTTTTTTATAGCTATTCAGGTTATATATATGCTGTAAAATATATAATATTATCATCATTTAGTGTTTTAACAAAAAATAAAATAAAATATTATTAACAGAGTTCAATGAAAATTATAAATACCAAAATATTTTAATGAATGTTTTTTTAAGTAAATGTATTTTACGTAAATAACACACACATAGTGTATAATATTATATAAAATACATTTAATTGAAATAAATTTTAAATAAAAAAAAGCTTCAAGCATTTTGTTTGTTGTTGTTGTGAACTTTAAGATTTATTGTTATACAAAAAATTATTATATAATATTAAATACTAAAGTGTTAAGTTTCATAATATATTAATTTAAATTAAATTAATATTAAAACTTCTCTTATTTAATTTTTTTGCTACAATTTATCTTAATTTCCAATAGCAAGTGATTCATAATTTATTTTTAAAAAAGTTTGTAAATCATTTTTGAAAATAATTATTATTAAATAATTTATTAATATGTTTTTATTACAAAATAAAAATATTAAACAATAGATAGGGTTATAAATGATGAAAATTTTGTAATATTTTCACTTAAAAATTAATAAATTCTACAATAAATAAACTTGATGATACACTAAACAACAAAATTATCTATTGTTATGTTGTATTATCATTGAAATATTTTATAATAATAATTTATGCGCTTAATTTTATATTTATATTGTATATAATATTCAATTCAATTTTTAAAATTCATTCAATCATTTAATATATGTACATATACTGTATATTTTAATCATATATACAGTATACGGTATTTATATGTTTATCAATTATTTTAAAGTTATTTTATTTATTGATTTATAAAACAAAATATTAAAAAGATAAATAATTTTAATTGATGCATAGTTATTGTCTTATCATATAAATATTAAAAAATTTAATTTTTTTAAAAACTTGATTTTTATTTTATTTGTTTTTTTTAAAAAAAAAGATATAACTTTTAATTTTAAAATTATTTATCCATATTATATGTACATATGCAGCATATACTGTATTAGTATACAGTACATTTATAAAAATAAAAATAAATAAATTCAAAATGCTGTAAAAATATACAATGAAATTGAAGTATCATTTATTATAAAATATCTGTGTGTTTATATTTCCTTTAAAATTAATTACAATAAATATTATACAATAATATTTATAATTAAAAAATTTATTTTTTATTAAAATTATAAGCAAATTATAATTGTATAATTTATATATAATAAAGTATTTAACAATTGTATTGTTTGTACCCAAAACAGGCCAATCGTTTATCACTGTCCTTTGCGACGGCAAACTTTCCCGAAGACTACTTGCCCTATACGGCCACTTATTCGCGAAATAATAATAATAATAAGGATCCGTATCTGGTTTGGGACAGTGGTTTCAATGTCGAATCGTCGACCAGCGATGGCCATCACCACTACCCTAACCAACACCACCATAATAACCCCCACCACACTCACACCCATACTGCCAGTATTGACAGCCATAGTCCGGCCAGTCTTAACCACTATCACATGCACTCGCAAAGTCATCTCTATCCGACCTGTTCCGGATCATCAGCTTCGTGGCCAACGACCTCCAAGAAACGCAAATGTTGTGGCGTGTCGTGCGGCTGCTGTTGGCTAACAATGCTGGCACTGGTCATCATATCGGCTCTGGCCACTATTGTCGGCTTTTCCATATATCTGGCAATGATTACAAACCTACATAAAAGTTCGCAATTTCTAGTAAACGGCAGTTTCAAAGTGGATTCGGGCGATAACTTTAACCAAAAGTTAATCAACACTTCATCGCTGGAGTTCATCAAAAAAGCCAACAAATATGAGACTATTGTAAGTGATTTTTTTGTTATTTAACTTTTTTTATATGTTTGTTAAATATTTTTTGATATCAACTCTTTAATAGTTTTCCCATCACTTTTCATGCTAATAATATTTTCTTAATCGATTGAATAGTTAGGTTATATTTATAACCAAAAAACTTTATTTATTATAGTGTGTGTGTGTATACTGTATAATAATAATATTGGTGTAGAATAATGTATAGATAGATAGATAGATAGATAGAGAGAGAGAGAGAGAGAGAGAGAGAGAGAGAGAGAGAGTAAAAAACGCTGAGAGAGAGATATTTATTGCTTAGAAATTTTTACTTTTTTGAAAAGTTTATGTTTCAACACAAAAAACCGTAAAATAAAAGTAACAATAATATGATAATAAAAAAAAAAAGTTTTTAGAAAAGTAGACAACGAAAAGGTCCAAAATTTATTTTTTTTTGTTATAAAATTTTTATTGTATTTCCAATACTTTTCTCTCACTCACTCACTCTCTTTCTCTCTCTATTTCTCACTTACTTTTAAAAGTCACACATGAATTGTTTTTGAAAGTAAATTGAACTTAAAAATACATACATATATATACAGTATATAAACCGATATGAATTTTTTATCAATAGATTATACATGATTTGTCTTTCAACTGTTTGGGCAATTGTTATGCCATTTAAAAAAATATCATGTGTTTGTTTGTTTGTATTATGCATTCAATATATGTATTCACGCATATGTTATTAGGAAATATGTGTTCACTAATAATGATGAATGATTTTCCAAAAAATTTGTGGTTCATTTTGTTTTGTTGTTGTTGTTGTTGTTTAATAGTAATCCTAGAAATATCTGTCCAAAAAAACATACACACAAACAAATACATACATAGTTTCAATAGCCATAGACCCAAACAAATTAAATATCAAGTGAAACAAGTTTTCAAAAAATCCGTGAAATCAGTATTTTCTTAATAGTTAATACTTTTATATATATATATATATATTTAAAAACACACCAACAGTATAGACACTACCATATAATATGTATTGTAATAAAATTAAGCAATAATTATATAAATTTCAATACAAAAATCGTGATTCCCTTCTCTCTCTCTCTTTCTATCATTTTTTTTATCTAAATCTTCTTTATTAGTGTTGTATTACTCAATAATATACAGTATATATTCAATATATTCTCTTTTTTCGGTTAGTTTTTTTTGCAAACATTTACTATAATATTTTGTTTATTATATACACATTGTGTAAATTATTAAACACACACACACATACTCGCAAAATATGTTTAATATACATAAAAATAATTATTATTTCACAATTTTTTGTGCATAAAAAATAAAAATAATAACATTTATTAAGCAATATTTTTAGTATATATAATATACTGAATATATTATATAAATAAATATATATATATATATTTATTAAAATGATTTGTCCCTCAAGTCAAATCATGAGGACTTACAGTAATATTTTTTTTATTATTTATCATAATTTTATCTTATTTTTTTACTACAATTTTTTGCAAACATCCAACTCTTTTGCTAAATTGCTTTTACTTTTTTTTTGTTGATTTTATTTTTTTGTTTTGTTATTATTATTTTGCAAATAATTTGTCTCAACGACGAAACATAAACTTTTATATTATTTATTTTTTTGGTTATTTTTCAAGCAATTGAACTCTTGTTGAGGCAATTGAAAAATAAATAACAAACAAACGCAACGCTAATAACAAACAATTTAATCAATTTTTGTTTAAAATTTTTAAAAAATAAACTATATATAAGATCATAAATATGTCTTTTAAAATTATCGCAAAATAGTTATACAGTACTCAAATTGCAATAGTATTATGATTAGTGTTGGTATGTATAGTAATATTAATAATACAGTAATAATAATAATAATAAAATTTCAAATAACAAAATAGATGTCATATGTTTTAAAGGCTATACAATAATAATAAATAAAAACTTTTTAATACTCTTTATTATTGATTTTCATGGTTATCAATAAAAAATATCAGAATATTTATAGAAATCTATTTTAAATAACTTTATTGAAATATTTTTTTTTGTTATTTGTGAACAACAAAAAAGGGTTATGACTTTACAACAAAAAATATCTCATTTGATGTCATTCATCATTTGCCGCATAAAAGATGAGAGTGTTTTAGACACATATTGTATTATAAATGAATTGGTTTTTTTCAGTGTATCTCATCTGAAATTATTTTTTTCTTGTATTGAAAATACTGTTACAGTCTTTATAATCTCATATTTTTTTTCTTTATTATCTAATCTTTAAAATAGATTTTTTTGTGTATATCTTCACTTCATTTTTAAATTTTCTCACTTTTTTTAAATATTCATTATTTAATTGAATTGATTGTTAAACGACAAAAAACAGATAAAGACGGCATTGGAGACGAGTTCATTGAGTAATGCCATCACTAAACAGGAAGTCTATGCCTTTGGAAAGGGATCTCTTGTCGTATATTTTAGGCTGGGTTTGGATCGAAGGAAAGTCAATACTGTTATGGAAAGCGAGAGACGAAGTGGTGAGACCAGAGTTGTCGACAGGACTGACAGCAGGATTGGCAGCGATAGGAAGGATAGTCCACTGTTTGATGACATGTTTGCCGTAAAATTGATACAAAAAGAGTTAAGAGATGGTATGAGCCAATTGAAGATTACTGGAACCGAACAAATTATTATTGATATGACATCAATACAAGTGATGACTGATTTGGAACCAATGACCGATCGCAATGTCAACGATATTAAGACCAGCGGTTTTCTATCAAATAAAGCGTTGTCACCCATAAAGGCTAAAGACATTATGAAACAAATGTCAAACAAGTCTTCTGACATAAAGCCAAAAGACAGCCAAACAGACAATAGCATGACTACGACTACTACTACTACTACTACTACCACAGCTATAGTAAACCCAACACTGCCTTCACTGGGGAAAAGCCAAAGCACTTCACAGACAGATATCGATGTGAGAAACGCTTCAAATATTACAATAAATATTTCAAATACCGATCCATTCATTACATCAGCTCTATCGACAACAACAACCACTACTACTACACCAACAACAGCTCACTTATCAACAACTATAGCACCAATTGTTGCCAATAATGAAAGTGAATCCAATGTTCCCACGACTACTAAACCCAATAATTATAAGTCAACAACAATTTCTTACATAAGATCGACGACAACTACTACTACTGTCCCACCAAAGTCTGAATATAAAAACCCATTCCTGCCGTTTACACGAAAACAATCGACCACATCATCGCCTAAAACGCCTACCACTTCCATTCCCAATGTTCGCATCACTACTAGATCTCGATTAAGAAGCACTACCACCACAACAACAACTACTACAACTCCACCCCCACCACTGCCAGAGACGCGTCCACCAAACCATATGCCGCCGACACCACCACTCCCGCCTCTCAACGATATGTCTAATGTTTTAATGAAAAGAACTGATCTTAAAGAGGATGGACAACGAATTAGTGGACATAAAGAGGATGGACACCGAATTAGTGGAATAGATTTTGGTCAATGGAAACCTGTTGTAGCACAGCCACCACCACCTCCACCACCTAAACCTATACCACCTAAACCAATTCCACCTCCAATACAGGTGCCAACTAACCAACAATTTCAACCAAATCTAGGCATACCAATGAAACCCAAACCGCAACCCCCGCCACACAATATACTAATTCCACACCGACAGCGACCGCCATTCAGAATACCAATACCTATAGGCATACCTATGCGCGAAGTTCCCCGTCTTCTCGATGATGATGATGATGGCCCTAAAGTAGAAGATCAAACTTATGCACCAAAAGGTGAAACACCTAAAATAGTAGAAAATCACAACATATCTATAACACATCCGACTATAGGCACCACAACCACCACCAGCAGCACTACACCTATATCTTTATCATCGACTTCATCACCAATAAGTCCATTATCTCTTTCTTCTGCCGCCACTCGTTCGCCGCGTTTGTCGTCGACAACTAGTGACCCATCAATGGTCGACGGCTTTATTGTACCAATAAGTGTCGGTACCAAACCTGAATCGTCAGTACAAAAGACCCAAACAAACAAAAATGACTTTTTCGCTCAAGATTTTAATAAAGAGTTGCGAAAAAATAAATCATTAAACATATTGAATGATAATCCTATTGTCAGAGATGATAGTCAAACAAATAAGGATTATTATAATTCTCATTCATTTATCACAACAACAACTATAAATACCACTAACTCTTTAAGTAATACCGGTTCTCGAGTACAGGAATTAGGAGCCGGTAGTAGTACTGTGTTTAACAACATTCCTAATGTTGTAAATGTAACTACCGTTACATCAAACAACCAGTGGTCAGAAAGTGGTGTCAATCAATCAACACAATCGCCAACAAACAGCTTAACAGAGACACAGACAGCGCCGGACTCACCAAACAGTTCATCGTTGCTAACGAAAAGCCCATTTGATTATTTCAATGTAATTAATGAGACTTTATTTTTGTCATCAGAAAATCCAAGAGATAATTCAGACAGTATTGCAAATAACAATAACAACAATAACATAACAACCAATTCATACACTAATACTTTAGTAGACATAATCACATCAACAATTCATCCACAGATTAATAGTGACATAAATACTGCTAATCCTCCAAAAAATGTCAGACGTGTGGCCATATCATTGTCAACGACGACACAAATGCCTGACAGCGGCAGCCAATTGATTGCTGGTTTACCACTCGGTGTAGATCTAAGCAAATCTGATTTAATGATACCGGAAAAATTGATCCGAACAGTGGACTCATCGGAACCATTATATGGAGAAAGATTACCCAAATATATTCCTCCGGCACTTTTTAATAAGTTACCAAACAATGACATTATAAGCACAGACATGATTACCAATACGGATGAAGATCTGGCAGATGAGACCCTATATGATGACGAAATTGCATCGATTAATCACACGTCACCACTGGATATGATTAAAATGTTTTCATTGACGACCACAACCCTAAGCCACGGATTAGAAACAACAACTGCCGGCAGTGTTTGTGCCGACAATGAGTTTCAATGTTTGAGCGGTGAGTGTATGCCATCCAGAGTTTACTGTAACAGACGTATAGAATGCTCCGATGGATCCGATGAGAGACAGTGTACGTGTGCTCACTATCTGCGGGCTGAACGCCAGTACAAGAAGCTGTGCGATGGGGTTATTGATTGTCACGACATGAGCGATGAAAGTGACTGTCCCTACTGTAAGGGTGGTGACTATGTTTGTCCACAAAGTAGTGTCTGTATTGATAAGAGTAAAGTTTGTAATGGAGATAATGACTGTCCCAATGGTGACGATGAAAGTGAATGCATATCACTGGTGCCAAACAATCAGACATTAGATGAAACCGGTAAATACTTTAACAATGAGGGCTCACTTTATATAAGACAAAAGGGAAAGTGGGCTCCACTTTGTTTGGATGACATCAATATCAATGAAGACTTAGACATCAAAAGAAACAGACCGTCGGAGGAGTTGTGGAAAATTGAAGACTTGGGTAAAGCTATTTGTAGAGCTAACTCGTACTCGGATATGGACTCAATTAAGATGACAAGTCTAACCAATTATAAGTCTAACGAGTTCTTCAAATTGGAACCGTTTAACAATAACAACCGGATCTCTCCATCACTATCGATGTAAATATTTTTTTTCTCAAAATAATAAATCATATAATTATTTTCTGAAACAGTTTAATATAATTTCTTTGGACTAAAATCATTGGTATTTTTATATATATATAATATTTATTTTCATTATTATTGTCTTATCTCAGGTGGAGTTCGCTTTTTGAACGGTCTGAGTGTCTGTCGAAGAGAACCACTTACGTGAAGTGCAAAGATTTTGGTGAGAGATATATGTTTTTTTTGTTGGTTGTTGTTGAAGAAAATAATGATAATAATGACTATAATTAGAGAGAAAGAGAGAGAGAGAGAGAGCCGTACCTTTTTTATACTTTAAATATTTATATATATATATATATTAATATATACCTGTATATTGACTTACCTATACATACCTGTTCTCATCCCTCATATATATGATGCACATCCTCCTCTACAACAACAATAATAACGCATTACTTGATCGTCTACTCCTGTATATAAAGAATGTGGTGTACGTCCCGTCACGAACGGTATCAGACGTCGCATAGTTGGGGGTCAAAGTTCATCGCAGGGCTCCTGGCCCTGGCAGGTGGCGCTGTACAGGGAGGGCGAGTTCCAGTGCGGAGGTGTCATCGTTGCTGATCAATGGTTACTAACCGCAGCTCATTGTTTTCATGCGTAAGTTTTTTTTATAAAAAAATATTTTGTTTTTAAAAAATTTCAAAACTACCATAAAGTTTGCCATCCATTTGATTATCATATAATTATATAGTCTTTTATTTTAAAAGACTTGATTACAAATTGTATAACAAGTTATAGTTATATATATATATAAAGAGAGAGATAAAAAACATTTATTTTATTAAATGATTGATACGTTGCGTGTAGTAATCAAACTATAACTCATAGCACCCGTACTTTTATTTTATATAATAGTCTACTTTAATCTCTATCTCCCTCTTTCACTCACTCACTTACTCCGCTTAGTTAGTTTACAAGTTTTACTACATATACACAGTATACAACATACCTGTGCTATTCACTGCCAGAATCTCTGTAATCAGTGAAAACATAATAATAATAATATAATTTTTTATTGCAATCATTTTTTTCTCTCTCTCACACACAGTACTCGTGATGCCTATTGGACGGCACGCTTCGGTATCTTAAGACGCGGCAATCTGTTTGCCAGTCCATATGAACAGATACGGCACATAACGCACGTTATTGTGCACAAGGATTACGTGGACAAAGGCTTTATTAATGACATCGCATTATTACGGCTCAATGAGCCCATCAATTATAGGTATGTGTGTGTGTGTTGGCTATTTTGACCACCACTTTCATCAGTCAAATACCTCTTATATATTGCAATATACTATAGTTTTGTCAGTCAATATGTCATTAATCATATTTGGATCTCTTAATCATTTTTATTTTGTTGATAATGTGTTTGTATGTTTGTATATGTGTTTTTGTATAGCAAACACGTACGGCCAGTATGTATGCCCACCGAATTGGATGATGAATCTAAATGGCACCGTCAGCTTTGCACTACCGTTGGTTGGGGTAAACTATTTGAACATGGACGTATTTTTCGTATGTATTTCCACCACATAGTTTAAATAATTTAGTTATTAATTTTAATTATTATTATTATTATTATTACTGAACTTATATATATATATATATAGTTTTTCTTACTTTTTATATAATTCCCATAATAACTTTTAAACTATAATTATTAGTATTAATGCAATTATTACCCATAAAATTATTGCTTTCAGTGACTATATAATTAAATAGTCATAATAATAAATAATTATATAATTGCTTCAAATAATTTATTATTATTTTTTCATTTGATATTTCAATCAATAGCCGATACACTTCAAGAAGTAAAATTGCCGGTAATATCGACAGAGGAGTGCCGCAAACGAACCCTATTTTTGCCGCTCTATAAGATAACCGATAATATGTTTTGTGCCGGTTATGACAGAGGGGGTAGGGATGCGTGTCTGGTAAGTCATATTTAGTCTATAACAGCATATTATATTAACACTGTCATTAGTACATCAATGAATTAGTTAATTTTCAGTTAATTAGACAAAAAATTTTGGTTTATAAACAATTTTGTTTATTCTCACACCACCCAACCCACCATCTCATTATATAGGGTGATAGCGGAGGACCATTGATGTGTCAAAAACGTAACGGCAAATGGTTTTTATTAGGAGTGACCAGCAATGGTGACGGCTGTGGCCGAGCTGGTCGTCCAGGAGTTTATACAAAAGTTGCCAAATATATGGATTGGATAGACTCTGTCATTAGTGAGTGAATTTTGTTTTGTTTTTTTTTTGTTTTGTGAATAATTACAACAATAATATGATATTTAAAAAAAACACTTTTCATTAGTGAAAACAAAAGTCATTATGAAAATCGTGTGTTTTTTTTGTTGTTTTCTGTGAATCAGTTTAATTACAACACATTTTTTAATTATTATCTCTTTCTCTCTTTTTATTATAATTACTATCACTCACACAAAAAACATCAGACAATGACTTAGAGCCGGAAACAATTCGTGTCTGTGATGGCCACAGATGTCCATTGGGTCGTTGTATCAAAAAGGACAGCATATGTAACGGTATAATGGATTGTAGGGACTCTTCCGATGAACAAAACTGTACGGATTTTAGTAGAAAAAAATCCGACTTTTTTAATAATGATTACAACAAAACTGATTCTTCAATATAGTAGTAACTAAATGTTGTGTTTTTTTAGACGATTATTTAAATTATATGTCTTTATTAATATTTTAGTTTTTTATAAGAGAAAAACTTTTTTATATAAAATATTTTTTTTATATACACACGAAACTCATCCAAACATTATGTAAATTATTTGTCGCCTAATTTAATGTTCACATCATATACAGTATATTTTCAATCATTAGTTTCAGAACTTTACGGAATTTTTTTTTATATATATAATAATTTTTTACAATATATTTATATAAGTAAATTTATAAGTAAGTAAAAAAAGTTAATGTAATTTTTTTTCGCAACATTTCAGTCATTATAAATAAATCGTATATTTTTTTATATATATAAATAAAATAAAAATAATGTATTTTTTATTGTATTCCTAGTACTAAACATGCAATCAAAATGATATCCACTTTCTCTCTCTCTCTCTCTCTCTTTCTATAAAGTTATCCGCAAAAAAATAGTCTTAAAATTAATTTTTATGATATCTAACTCTAAAAAGTGGAAGCATTCAATTTGAAAGTCATTTCCCTCTATTTTTTATTTATTTATTTACAAACAATTATTATTATGCTGTTATACCGCTTAATAAAATGAAATTTTTCTATTTAATTATAATGTATTGTTTTTTGTGTAGTTGTTGTTGTCAATCTATGACAAACAACAACAACAACTAAAGCCACACATTTGTGAATCCCTTTCAAAGATAAGAGTGAGTGAGTGAATGAGTGAGAGAAAGAGAGAAAGAGAGAGAAAGAGAGAGAAAGAGAGAGAAAGAGAGAGAGAGAGAGAAAGAGAGAGAAAGAGAGAGAGAGAGAGAATTTACTATTGAATTGATGGGTGTTTGGCATTTGGTTTTTGAAAAAAATTAACTATAGGTTAGTATCTACTCGTTGTGTTGGGGTTTGCATTGATTATTATTATATACAAGTTTTTTTTAAGTTTAAAGGTTTATTTTAAATGACATTTTTTTAAGTCAACAAAAATTAGTTGTATTATACAATCATGTGTTTTCTACACTCTATTTCTATTTATTTTATTTTAATTTTTTTGCTTTATTTTACGTATGACTTGTGGCTAATTTTCAAAACATATGATTAGGCTGGCGAAGAAAAATTGTATATAATTTATATTATTTTATAGCAATTATTTTTTTCCTAAAACAAAATCAAATATAATGTAAATGGAAATGTTAATTGTCTGTCTCTTTTTAAGTATATATATATATAATATATTTATAGTAACATCAATCTTATGACAAACATTGACAAACAAATATGTAATTACTGATGACTTCAAAAAAAATTTAGCATTTGGTCTCTAATTAGAAAAGAAAATACAATGTAATAAAAAAAGTTAAAAAATATTTTTTGAAAATAAACATTTCGGCAAATCGTAGAAAAGTATTTGCAATAAAAAATATATACCTATATATATATATATATATCTGTATTGATGTTATATAATAGTTTGTTGTGTGAATGTTTAATACAGCATATACTTTACAAGTATTTGATGTATTAGCAAAACTAATAAACTTATAGATATATCATATATACAGTATATATTTATATACTCTAAAACTTGATAACTACTGTAACTTTTTTGTTGTCTTTAGAAATTGATAGATATATTAAGCATTTCAAAATAAATCATATAATTTTAACAACACATTTTACAACTTAATTTATTAGTCAAATTATAGTTACTGTCAGTTTTAATTTTTTTTAAAAATACACTTTACTACTATATTATTAATGTCTAGACATTTTTATTAATTAAGTTATAAGTTAAGCTAATTACTAATAATAATAATAAATAATAATAATATTAATTAAAGTTAATTTGAAATATATTTAAATTATAGTAAAATTAAAACATTAAGTATAAATAAATAATAAATCATTGCTATATATAATAATTATTATAATGTAGTGATAATTGAAAAATATTAAAGGCCTGAATGACTTGTTATTCAAAGCAATTAAATTGTTATATAAAAAACATTAAATTAAATAGTTTTCTAGTTATTACATAAACTACTATTTGTTTTATATCATACACATAAAGTTATTGCCAAAATAGATAACAATTATTTTCAAAAAAGCATAGTTGTAATATTGAAGTCAAACAATAAAACATTTTAACGCAAACCTATCAATCGTTTGTCATAATAGACATAACTTTTATAATAATAATATTATTATTATTATTTGTTTCTTTAATTACATTTTCCTGATATTTCGCACAGATATATATATAAAGCTGTCTTAATCAAAGACAATAAGATTTTTTTGCTTATTTATTTATTTAGTATTATTTGTTTGTTCATTGTTGATCATCAGTCATGTTTTGATGGGCACCGGTAAGGAAATTGGAAAGTCAATTGAGTCTTAAGTTTATTGACAGATCCAATATACAGTGTATATAGACTTTATGTGTTTAAGACTGGGCTCTAATAAATGGGGGGCGAGAGAGACAACAAACACAAACCATGAACTCCGGTAAGCGGAACACATGTGTCGTCAAATTAATTGCTTTATTCTATAATTGTTTGATTACTTTCCTTCCCTATGAAAAAAATTGCTTAAACAGTATAACTATATTATTAAGATCTAAAATAGTAGAGTATATATATTTTCAAACTTCATATATTGATATACTGTATATTATACTATATATTATCTATTAAATAATTATTAATATTAATTATTTTGATGGTTGAATGGGCAAATATTTTTTTTTTAATTTCCAGACACTTAATAAAAATTAATCAACATTTTCAATGTAGTCTATAGAGTCTATAGTCTTAATGATAATATTGTAATATAATAATAATAATAATATGCATATAACAATAATTGTCATTTTGTCCAAATAATAAAGTGTATGATTTGATAACATAATCAGTTTAAATTAAACTCAACTTTTAGAAGATTACGATAATTTTTTAATTTTGGTAATCAATTTACAAATAATAATATATTTCAATGTTATGAGTATTAAAATTTGTTGAAATCTATTGTTTTTATACTATTGATAGTAATGTTATTATATATAAAGATAATTTTCAACTTATATTAATTTATCATATATTATACATAGTATTGATGACAATCACACATTAAATAAAACGTATGGAGAAAAATGATGGGCCTATAAATTGGTGATTTGTGATAACTTACACTTAGAAAAGTGTAGAAAAAAATACAAATAAGTATAATGTGATGAATAAGATCATCAATTGTAATGCGAAACCATTAAAATCATGTTAAATATGAATCATTTCCTATCATATGATATATTGATAATGGGTTTATTAGACTAGAAATCTCTATAAAAAAATAATTAATGGATTTATTTTTGTCACATATTTTTGGTGTTATTTGATATTAAAAAAATCAATTTTATAATTTCTTTTATTTTAAAACAAATAATACAGTATTACTAAAATTTTGACAAAATTTTATAAAATTGTATAAAATATAATATTTAAAATATATTTGTTATTTATTTATAAAATTATTGAATTATTAATATATTAATTAATTAGAAATGTCTATTCATTGAGACATAAAATCAAGATTTTTGTCTTTGTTTGACAGCAACGGCCGCTATAAGAGCTGATCCCTTACCACTTCCGTCGTCGGCTAAGAAAAGTTCGACCTTTTTATTATTGGGAACCAATTCAACGATAAAATCAGTGATCAAAGTATGAAGTTTTGGATGTTTTTTATAGAAAGAGCCGTCAATTGCCACTCTTATAAACGGCTTATCGATTCTGTCGACAACCGATGCAATATCTGTTGATATAAATAATAGGATAAGAAAATTAAAGATTTTGAAATACTCTTCAAAGAGTAATAAATAAATAAAAGTAAAAAAAACAATTAACGACTTACTGGCGGCAATTAACTGTGCGTTTCGCACAGCAATCTGAGAGCAAACGTATTTCACAATTTCAATGTCATCTTTGGTTATCTGAGCGGAGGTATAGCCTAATCGTTGGAGTAATTTAGTCACAAAGTCATCACTTTTGTCGTTCTCGACTAACGACGCGTCCGGAGCTTTGATTGAATCCTTTTGTTTGAGAGCATCGGTAATGAGTCCGCCGACAAACAGTTGGTTTTCGGCTAACGTTAATAGTGAACGACGTATAAGATCACCAAAAAAGAAAGCGCCGACCAGTTTCTCGAAACTAATATAATTTTATATATAAATTATTAATATATTTAGATTCATAGGAAATAAATCGAGATTTTTTTTTAATACCCATAACTATGCGGAATCATCGACTCTTCATCCAACTCCATATCCCAGCGAGTCTTTACATAATCAATGGCGCCGTCATCTCCAAGAAAGCCACACTCGGTGTTAACGATAATGCTTTCAACTGGTTTGTCAAACGTTTTTAACGGATCAATTCTACCGATGCGATCGACTTTCTCCAAATAACCGGCATTCATACCGGAGCCCAGTATATAACTGACATATGTCTCAGGTTTCAAATACATACCATACATGAGAGTAGTGGTCACATCATTGGCAATGGATATTACATCTACATTCACGCCCTGGCGTGCAATGGCATCCCGTAAGAACTGAACGGCACACTTGCCATAAGCGTCGGGAAAATTTGTTTGAATACCCATCTGAAGAATCTTTGATTTATCCAAAGCTAACTGTTCGTAACCGAAGGAAAATGTGAATCCAAGAGGTAGTCGTTTGTCACTTATGTCGGGATTCTTTGAAATAAAATCGCCGATATTTTTGGCCAATTGATCAAAAAACTATATCAAATATTAATAACAAATTAATAAATAATTTAAAGAAAAACAATATATTTTAATGATATACCTGTTCAGCACTTGTTCCCGATCTTTGGTCAGCAGTTAGTTCGTAGTGTTGGACACGAAATTCTGGTTCTGTTCCCGGTTTTAGTCGACATAACATAACCCGCAAATTACTGCCACCGATATCCATAGCCAGTACATCACAGTCTTCAGTTCCGTCCGGATAGTCGGTAACAAATGTGTTGGCCATATAAAAGCATGACTTTCGGGACGGGTTGGCCTCTAATCCGAGTCTCATCTCTTCACTGAAGACGTCAACAATTTTCTTGACTTTAGAAACCGATAAAATAAATCCCTTAAGAATTTCTCGGATCTATTAATTATTTATAATAAAAAAATACAATATTTACAAAATTATTATTATATTAATTTAATAATTACCAAAATTATGATTTAATAATTTTTAATACTTATTATAAAAGTATACAATATATATAAAATATTAATATTGTATTTCGAAAAAAACTCTAATAGAAACACTATTTATTATTTATAATTAACAGTAATATAAAAAAATAATAAATAAATCTAAATCTAATAAAATTTTAGACAAAACAAATTATATTGTTTTTTAATAATATGTTTATAATATTAAACAAACAAACGAAATCAAAATTGAATTATATTATTAAAAATAAATAATCATTTATAATCCAAATTTTGTATTCATTATTATGGTTAAAAAAAATATAGATTTTAAATTAGCTGTAGAAACAAAACAAAAATCATAAATATTTATTTATTTATTTATATAAATAAAAATAAATAGTGCATATTTATTAAACTAATTTAATAGTTTTTTCTTCAAAAAATGCATAAATTATATTTTTAAAAATATTATATATATACAGTATATTTATAAAGCATTATTATATTTAATATACTGTAAGATATGTGAATGTTATTGTATTAGCTAAATATTTTCTGCAATTTAAAAAATAACTAATATTTAATAAATTTTGAAATTTTTCAAAATAAGTCAAACCCTCATTATATTTTTGTCTCAATCAAACAAATATTAAAGTTATTATATCTACTATTAAAATATGAGTTGAAAATCTAATATATATAACAAAATTACTATTGATATTTAAATTAGAGCAGCAAAAAAATAGTGTATAACTTTTAATTTTGACTGGCTCATTTAGTAATTAGTTTTTTTAGTAATTTTAGTAAATTTAGTAATTAACCAAGTAAAATAGTTATTACCATATATTATTAAATTTATTTTTATCATTTTCAATAAAAAAAAATAATCAACGTTAGTATTGGTTTGGTATCATATTAATGGAGTTACTATGTGAGCTAATATAACTATCAAAAAATAAATTTAAAATTTATTAACACACATATAAATTTGGTGTTTTATATTATTTATATTTATAAAAAAATAACATAAGTTATACTGTTTTAGGGTATAAGTTATAAAACTATAAAGACAATAGTAGTATAGCTACTATTATGTGTAATGTACTGTAGTTTTATTTATTTATGGGTTTAAATAGCAAACGTGTCCAAACATGTAATATACAATACTGTATATATATAAACACATAAATTATATGATATTATTATTATGAATCTAAACAATTGATGTCCAAAAAAATATATACAGTATATGTATATACGTGACAAACCTTTTGTTTTTTGCTGTCATCGCCAATATTGAGCACCGGATTATGATATGGAGAGTCCGCCAGAAGTACTGATTCAGCCGATGAGTCCATAGTTATAGTTATTATTCTTGAATTTTGTTTATATATCTATACTGTAAGTACACACCCCTTGAAAACAGTGGTCACAACAATAATAATGTATACAATCCTGCCTTCTGTCAGACTTTTCAAGCGATAAAACCAACAAAAATAAACTTTTGTTTCATTCAAACACTAGTTTTTATCGCAGTATTTATATTCACTTAACATTACGTGTTATAAGACTTATCAAAAAAAAATATATATATTTCGCTGAGTACTCAATCAATTAAATTATTATTATATTATTATATGACTATTAAATTATCAGTTGCTGATTGTATAGATATATAAGTTACTCATAATATGTATATTCACTGTACTGTATATTTGATATGTGTTTATGTCATATGTTATCAATAATATATGATATACAGTAAAGTACAGTAACTTAACATTATTAGCTATAAGTTTTTCGTAGAAATAAAATCAATATTTAATACCATATTTTATGTTATGTTTGAATTACGTAATTGTATATAAAATAAGTTTATGTAATTTATTAATATACTGTATATAATATATATCTAATAAATTGAATAATTTCATTAATAGGCTTACGTAATGTAAATTTGTAAATTCATTGCACATTTGATTTTTTCACACAATTTACTACTATTACTACTATTATATAATACTATACTATAATATAAAGTTATTTAATCTTTAATACTTAATATTCAAACAAACAATTTATATAATATGACTGAATAAATGAATGAATAAATATAATTTTGTAATTTTTTTAAAAATATAATAAAATTGGTTGACATTTACACTATATTTGTTAACAATTATTGTAAATAATAGCAAATGATTGAATTACAATATTATGATAATTACCTTAGAATAAATTTTAATAATAATATAATCATATTTTTATTTTATTTTTTACTAATTTAGTTATACAAAAAAATCATAAATATTTATATATTAACTTTAATTTTGTTAAAATAATTATTTATCATTAATATACTACAGAGTAATATAATCTACTATTTATTATAATGTCTTAATTAAGCATAATCTCTGATAACTACTGTTATCATTCAAAAAATATTTATTGCATAACATAAACATTATTAAATATATCTTTGACTATTATATATATATATATAAGTTATACATTTATCAGAAACTATTTCATATTATTAAAAACAATTAATGTAAAAAATAAAAAATTTTAATTACCATATATCATGTTATTAATTTAAGAGTAGTAGTAAAATATTTTAAATTTAAAATACTGTACAATTAATGATTATTTAAATTATTAAGCATTATATGATTAAATCAAAAATAGTTAATAATATATAAAAAATCAAAATTTAATAAATCATTATCAATAGAATTGTTATATGAATTTTATTTTAAATAATCTTCAATAGTATCAAACAATAAAGTTATAGCTTATAGTTTTTAAAATAAAATATTATTGCGGTCGTGGACCGAGTTGTGTGGGTTATGGGGTGTGTGATTCCCGATTCACCATTATTACAGCGGTTACGGCCCTTAGGGAAGATCCGTTGCAATGATATGTGATGTACCAACTGGTTATCAACAGCCGAACAGGTATGTCTTGCTGTGTTGATTGTTGTTAATTCAGGTCCCGATGCGAACTGGTATGTCTTGCTGTGTGACCTGTGTCCGAGTGATTGTCCGGATATCGGGTAATAGTGTGTGTAATAATTGTATGATTTAAAACACAGTTATTTTTATCAATAACTAAATAAAACTAATTTATTCAATTAAAACATATATTAATTAATAAACATAGAAATTGTGGGCAAATAATATTAATTGTAAACAATTAAAATAATTAATTAAATATTTTAACATTGGTTTGAATCGACGGCAAACAATAGGTTTTGAATTACATGAATAATATTTGTATTAAAAAGTAGTTAACAGATTGAGTTCACAATTACTAATAACATTGAAATTTAACTAAAAATAATTGTATAAAAAATTGTATTTAACTAATGTTAAGACTTATTTTTGTAATTATATATTTATCAAAAATCTAATATAACATTTAATTATAATTGAAATATAACTCCTAATACTCCCCCGCGACCTAGATTAGATCCGTTTGAGATAAGGAGCTAGTTGTGACACATGTAGCTTAAGTGTCGGTGCATTTGGTTTATCCAAATGATGTCCTTCAGCGTTGACCTGTGATGTTATTTTGGTGATAACAAGCGGTCCCTCGAAGAGTGGATCCAACTTTTTACGGTCCGGTCGGTTGTGTGGAAGTTTGACTTTAACTAAGTCGCCGATCTGTAAATTGAGAGGACTGTGCTGTTTATCATATCTTTGTTTTACAACTGCTTTTTCGTTGTCTGATTTGGCACTTGCTGATTGTCTGGCGTTAGACAAGTCACCAGTTGTGTTAAGATTATCAGTGCCAGTCATGAGATATGCTGGTGTATAACCTGTAACAGAATGGATTGATTGGTTGTACTGATCAACAACCTGTGAGACGAGTGAACTCCATTTGTAGTTACGGTGCTTGAGTTGTGCTGATCTAAGACGTTGTTTGAGTGATCCATTGGCCCGTTCGACAGTTCCATTGGATGCCGGGTGATAGGGTGTCGTCAGCGAGTGCTTAATATTTTGTCTTCTGAGATAATCTTTAAATAATTTACTTGTAAAATTGGTGCCATTGTCTGTCAATAGGCGGGCAACAGGTGTTGTTGCTGATTGAATAGCTTTGTTTAGACAGTCAACTGCTGTCTGTGCGGTGTTAGATTTGGTAGGGTAGGCCCAAATGTATCTGCTGTGGTGGTCAATTATTACTTGTAAATAATTGTATTTTCCATCGCTTGAACGGAAATCCATTGTATCCATAGCTAATAAGTCGTATGGTTTTGTTGGTGTTGGTATGGGCTGTAGTTGACCAAAGTGTTTGTGATTGACTGGTTTAGTGAGTTGGCAGATATGACATGACTTTACATATAACTCGATGTCTCGGTGCATGTCTTTCCAGTAATATTTGTATTGAATTTGTCTTTTTGTTGTCCTTATACCAGGATGACCACATTCATCGTGACTGGATGTCAATATTTTTGATACCAATTTTGGCGGTATAACTATGAGATTGCGACCAAATAGTCGTTTTGTTTGCAATCCAGTAGTGTTTGTTTGGTCAACCAGTTTAGCAAATAATTTATTTTTATCGGCTAATTGTTGTAAAGGCATCTGTGTGTTTGATACAACTGACAGGTCTTTCGATAAAGTAATGTTATTTGAAGTATTGACAACTGGAGTGTAGCTATCATTGTCTTTGATTGCCAGTTGTTGTGATTGCATGATTGTTGTGTCTGAAATGTAATTACAGACAGGTGCTCGTGATAACGCGTCGACATGAGCCATGTATTTGCCCGGTTTGTGAATGACTTCAAAGTCGTATGTGCTGAGTTCATCTGACCAGCGATAAAGTCTTTTTTTGGTTGACTTGAAGTTTGATAACCATTGAAGAGCTTTGTGATCCGTATATACTGTAAATTTGGTTGATTCGATGTATATGCGAAAGTAATGAATTGACTCGTAGAGTGCCAACAACTCGAGTTCTGTGACATAATATCTGGTTTCAGCGCTGGATAACTTGCGAGAAAAATAGCCAATTGGGTGGTTATCTTGAGTGAGTATGCCTGCTATACCAATAGTACTGGCATCGGTATAGAGCACACTTGGTTTTGTTGGGTCAAACAGGTGTCTGACCGGTTGTTGTGTTAATAGATATTGAAATCGCTCAAAGGCTTGTTGTTGATTTTCTGTCCAGTAAAATGCTATCCCTTTGCTTATAAGTTGAGTGAGAGGTTCAGCTATTAAAGAGAATTCATTTATGTATTCACGTAAATAATTAATGAGTCCATGAAAGCGTTGAACATCCTTTTGATTTGTTGGTATTGGGAAGTCAACTATTGCTTTGACTTTGGCATCTGGTGGACGGACAGTTGTGCCATCAATGTTATGTCCTAAAAACTCAATTTGTTTGACATTGAATTGACATTTTGATAGCTTTAGACGTGCGCTGTGTTGTGATAATATGTCAAAGACTTGATTTAAAAGAGTATCATGTTTTTGTTGTGTGTCGGCATAAACAATAATGTCATCTAAATATGATATGACGCCACTATATAGAAGAGTACCGAGAATTGTCTGTACGATACGGTGAAACGTTGATGGGGCGTTTTTAAGACCAAACGGTAGTACTAACCACTCGTAGTGTTTGGTTTGTGTGACAAATTCTGTCTTAGAAATGTCATCATTGTGTATGGGTACCTGCCAATACCCTGAAGCAAAATCCAATTTACTGAAATACTGTGAACCCTGTAATCGGTTCATAATATCTTGAATGTTAGGAAGTGGTGTCTTATCTGCAACGGTTTTAGCATTAAGGCGACGATAATCAATACACAAACGTTTAGTACCATCTTTTTTAGACGCCAGTGTTACAGGAGCAGCATAGGGTGTCTTGCTTTCGCGTATCAATCCTTTGCTTAATAGCTCAGTTATCTGGCGCTCAGTTTCAACTGAGTTTTCGAAAGATTGACGGTATGGCTGTTGTGATATTGGGATATTGTCGGTTAAAATGATCCGATGAGACTCGACTTTAATGCGATTCAAATCAAATGAATCGGTGGCAAAAATATGTTTGTAATTGAATAATAATTTTTGCAATGTTTGTGGCAATTGAATTTCTTTGATTTGATTGTCAATAGATATCATAGTTTTATTGATAACATCGTGTGTCCGTGATGTGCTTATTATTGAGTTGTTTTTAATAATTTCAGTACTGATTTTATTTGTGTTTACAGTACTGTTATTAGTACTGATTGACATGTCTTGTATAGACATTGATGTATTGAGTGCATTGAGTTTGTATGCGCTGATTGACTTGTGATTAGGTACAGTTGAATTGATTGAAATTTTATTTAAATTATCATTTATTAGATAATTGTGTGACGGGATCAGATTATCATGGTATGTTACTGATCTGTTGGTTGTGTCTATTATTACGCCAAATAGACCCAATGTATTAAGTGACAATAGTAGTGAATATGCAAAGTCAGGTAATACATGCGCAGTGATTTGTTTTGATGTATTATTAATTGTTAATTGAAATGTGCATTGACCAATTGTCTTGCACTGTCCCTTTGCCAGCTGTATGACTTTATTATAGCGAGTGTCCAGTATTAGGCGAAAGTGTTTGACTGCTTTGAGAGATACGATATCAATAGTTGAGCCTATGTCTGCAAAACACATTATTTTTTTGTATATTAAAAATCCTGGTATTAAAATACGATCATTTGTTTTGTAGGTCTGTGCTGACATATTTTGCTCAATAAAATGATTGGTGTCAGATGTTTCAGCTGTTGGTGACTGTGCTCTTGAGTATGAGCGTGAAGTAGTACTGTTTTGCACACGATTGCTTCTGCGTGGACAGTCACTATGCCAGTGGCGGTTATGTTGGCCTTCTTCTAAACAGTATTTGCAATCATATGGTGGGAGTTTCTTTGGTTGTGATTTAAATTTGTTATTTCCTTTAAATGGTTGTTTGCTTTTGTGACCAGACTGATGGTCGGTGTAGTGAGTGCTGTGGCTTTTTGATTGTTGTGGACGACGATTCATGTCGAGTTCAATGTCCTGTGCGAGTTCAAGCCATTCAACAATTGAGTCAAAGCGTTTGCCTAAAAATTTGTCCTTAAAGTCTGGATAAAGACCTTCTGTTAAAAATTGACATATATCTCGTGGTTCGAGACCTTTGATACGGCGTAAAATTTTCAATTTTCGCTCATAATATTGATATATAGTCTCTGTGCGCATAAGTTTACATTTGTTTGCTTCAGCGACTGGAGATGCGCGGTGAGCGTTACCAAAGGCTATGATGAGCATTGTGCTAACATCATCCCAATCAGCGTCGGGGTTTGATATGATGTCATTGGTGTAGTAGTTGTATGCGTCATCACTTAGGAATTCTGCAATTTTTATTATTTTTTCGGCATCGCTGAGATGGCTGTATGCTCTCTCGAATAGTCTCAAGTGTCCGCTTATTTCAATTTTATCGGCACTGCCACTGAATCGCGGTAATTTGAGTTGACGATTAGTAGTTTGTGGTCTGTTCTGTGTATTGTCGTTGTTGCCGTCTAGTGACATTGTATTTATTACTGTATTGTTACTATTAGATGAGTTGAAAGGTGTATATAGAGGTGAGTCTCGGGTGACTTCACTTTCTGATGGAAGTTGTGGTGTTGATCGACTTCTGTTTCGGAGTGGATAGGTGCGCGTTGGTACGTATGTATGCCTATACGGCATGTGTTACTGCTATTGATTTGACGTGGAGTCGGGAATCCTGCCGACTGCGCCAATTATTGCGGTCGTGGACCGAGTTGTGTGGGTTATGGGGTGTGTGATTCCCGATTCACCATTATTACAGCGGTTACGGCCCTTAGGGAAGATCCGTTGCAATGATATGTGATGTACCAACTGGTTATCAACAGCCGAACAGGTATGTCTTGCTGTGTTGATTGTTGTTAATTCAGGTCCCGATGCGAACYGGTATGTCTTGCTGTGTGWYCTGTGTCCGAGTGATTGTACGGATATCGGGTAATAGTGTGTGTAATAATTGTATGATTTAAAACACAGTTATTTTTATCAATAACTAAATAAAACTAATTTATTCAATTAAAACATATATTAATTAATAAACATAGAAATTGTGGGCAAATAATATTAATTGTAAACAATTAAAATAATTAATTAAATATTTTAACATTGGTTTGAATCGACGGCAAACAATAGGTTTTGAATTACATGAATAATATTTGTATTAAAAAGTAGTTAACAGATTGAGTTCACAATTACTAATAACATTGAAATTTAACTAAAAATAATTGTATAAAAAATTGTATTTAACTAATGTTAAGACTTATTTTTGTAATTATATATTTATCAAAAATCTAATATAACATTTAATTATAATTGAAATATAACTCCTAATAATATTAAACTTTTTATTAATTTTTTTATACAATATACAAAAATTGTAAAGTTATAAAAGTTGTGACATAATTTAATATTTTCAAGTTTTTAATAATTTATATTTTTACACTATGTTACTTAACGTAAGTTTAGTTTTTAAAAATAAATATAAAATATTTTACATATTTATGATTATAATAATAATAATAACAATAATAATAAATGTTAAACAAAAATGTGCGAAAATGAAATAAAATATATAAAATTTTATTTTAACATAACATTACAAACATTACAAACATAACGAATAGTTTACAATAGTTTGAATAAATTGAAATAAAAATTTTATTTTTAAACAATTAATAATTTTTGTATACGTCTTACTTATTTTTTCATATTACTAACTTATAGTTTTTTAAATTAGTATTATTATTATTATACAACTGTATCAAAATGGATATAATTAGTGCTATTGTAATATAAAGTTCAGAGTTTTATATGTATTGCAGAATATTCTTGCAATTCACATAATAACTGATTGTTTAGTCAACGCATCCATACATACATACATACATACTGTATGTCACACAACAACAACAACTACAGCAAAAATTGTCGATAATTTGTTAGTCGACAGACGTTTCCACTCCAACACTCACAGCATTACTGTCGAAGACATTCATATAGTGAATGGTTATACAGATAGACCAGAGAGCTCTGTCTGTGAGAGTGAGTGAGTGAGTGAGTGAGTGAGTGAGTGAGTGAGTGAGAGAGAGAGAGAGAGAGAGAGAGAGAGATTACAAAAAATAATCAAAAACATGTTTGAAAAGATATTTAATAGTAGTGAGTATATTGATATAATAATTAGTTTTATATCGATAACCAAAGTAAATATCTCAAGATTTATTTTCAATATTACATTTTGTTATTAGCAAAACATAAAAAAATTAATAATATACACAAAAAAAACTATATGAGCCATCAGTTTGGTTTTCCACAAGTTGTGGACCACAACACATACACAAACTGTAAGAGTGATTATATGTTTATCTAACTAAATAATCTCTGTATTAATATATTGATTTTATTAAGTACTTAACATTAATCATTAACAATTTAATTTTAATCAACAAAATTAAATATACTATTTAATCTAAAATATTACATTATTTATAACTTTGAAAATATTATTTAGTAATCTAAAAAAATATTCAAACATAATATTTAATTGTCTAAACTCACCAAAAAAACGATTACAGTCAAAACTAAGTGCCAAATAGTTATTATTAATAACTTACTAATAAATCAATAAATTTTTTATTGTATCACTAATTGTTTGATAGATCTTTTCCTTTGAGAGACTCTTATTTTAATAAATTATTTTTTAATTATATTGTAAATTATATAAACTATTTGAATGAATAATGACTTCATTATTAAGTGCAGTCATCACTATTGATAGTTTCAATTACTATGTATTACAGTATATACAGTATTTTATAACATACAGTATATTGTAAGAAAAATGTTTTACAAATACCAAAAAAAAAAACTTAAGTAATACTATTTATATTATACAATAGACTTTCATTGTTAAAAATAATACAAATATATATTTTTGTGCGACAAACTGGATGCTAATGAATGATCAATTTTTTTTGTTGGACTAATATATATATAATACAATATAGATCTATCCAATGACTTACTTATGGTATACAAAGTGAATAAAATAATCAATCAATTATTAGTAGAGTATATCTATAAAAAATAATTTCCATTAAAAGATGCTAAATATGATTCATTTCCTAAATGTTTGATAAATTGGCTAAAAACAAGTTATTAGACTAGAAATCCTCGCCAATAATTAATGGCTTTTATTTTTGTATCAAATTTTTTTTTGTCTGTGTGTTATTCGATATAATAAAACCAATTATTGGTATATATATATAAAATCGTTTAGACTTTATTTTTGTATTTAATAAAAATACTGAGACAGACATTATATTATAAGTATATATTACTGTGTATTATAGTTATAATTAATTAGTATAAATGTCTGATCCAAGAGATATACAAAAAATCAATTATTTTGTCTTTGTTTTACAGCAACGGCCGCCACAAGAGCTGATCCCTTACCACTTCCTTCATCGGCTAAAAAGAGTTCGACTTTTTTATCATCAATCGGAACCAATTCAGCGATAAAATCAGTGATCAAAGTATGAAGTTTTGGATGTTTTTTATAGAAAGAGCCGTCAATTGCCACTCTTATAAACGGCTTATCGATTCTGTCGACAACCGATACAATAACTGGTAATAATTTACAGTATAATTAAAACGATGAGATATTCACACAAAAAACAATTAAAATAAATGAAAATAATAGCAATCAATGATTACTACATACTGGCGGCAATTAATTGTGCGTTTCTGACAGCAATTAAAGAGCACAAGTATTTCACAATTTCAATGTCATCTTTGGTTATCTGAGCCGAGGTATAGCCTAATCGTTGAAGTAATTTAGTCACAAAGTCATCACTTTTGTCGTTCTCGACTAACGACGCGTCCGGAGCTTTGATTGAATCCTTTTGTTTGAGAGCATCGGTAATGAGTCCGCCGACAAACAGTTGGTTTTCGGCTAACGTTAATAGTGAACGACGTATAAGATCACCAAAAAAGAAACCTCCGACTAATTTCTCAAATCTATTATTTTATAATTAGTATAAAACAAATAATTTTATCTAAAAAATAGACGAACTCTAACCCATAAATATGTGGAGACATTGACTCTTCATCCAACTCCATATCCCATCGAGTTTTTACATAATCAATAGCGCCGTCATCTCCAAGAAAGCCACACTCAGTGTTAAGTATAATGCTTTCAACAGGTTTGCCAAATGTCTTAATTGGATCTATCTTTTCAATTTGTTTTACTTTTTCCAAATAACTAATATTCATACCGGAGCCCATTATAACACCAACGTATGTCTCAGGTTTCATATACATACCATACATGAGAGTAGCCGTCACGTCATTAGATATAGACATTACCTGCACATCCAAACTCTGGCGTTCAATGGCATCGCGTAATAATTGAACGGCACATTTGTCATCAGCAATAAAGTTGGTTTGAATACCTAAATGTTTTATCTTTGACTTATCCAAAGCTAACTGATCGAAACCAAACGAAAAGGTGAATCCAAGAGGTAGTCTTTTATCGCTTATGTCGGGATTTTTTTGCAACGAAATCGCCGATATTTTTAGCCAATTGATCAAAAAACTATATCAAATGGTAAGTTAATGAATTAAAAAAACTATATATAATAATGAAATACCTGTTCAGCACTTGTTCCCGATCTTTGATCAGCATTTAGTTCGTAGTATTGGACACGAAATTCTGGTTCTGTTCCCGGTTTTAGTCGACATAACATAATCCGCAAATTACTGTTCCCAATATCCATAGCCAATACATCGCCGATTTCTGTCCCGTCCGGGTATTCCGTTAGAAACGAGTTACACATATAAAGGCATGACTTTCGCAACGGATTGGCCTCTAATCCGTGTCTTATCTCTTCACTCATGGAATCAATAATTTTCTTGAGTTTAGAAAACGTTAAAATATATTCTTTAAGTATTTCAAGAATCTATTATTTAAAAAATAATTTAAATTAATAATATATATTTTTAAATAATATTAATAATCTATTAATTTTATAATTTGTTTTAAATATTAGTTAATGAAAAAATTAAATAAAAAAATATACATTCACTTTGATTTTAGAGTAAGCAATACTATAAAAACTAAATCCAATACTACAGTATCATACTGTATATAATTTATATAATACTCGTAAATTATTATTAGTAAATTCTGTAAATATACAGAATATACAGTACATTATTATATTTATTATATTATACTTCATGAAAAATACAAATATTTTTCGTGTACTTAACAAAAAAAACAATAACAGCAACAATACTGTATGTGTAATATTAACTTTTATTTTGGCAAACAAACAACAATAAGATTTACTATTAAAAATAATGATAATTTATGTGTATCTTATAGTAGAAGAAAATGATTTCTTTGAAAATTGACTTTAAAAAATAAAATTACATTTGAAATAAAATATAAATATAATATATTATAATTAAATTACAATCCTTTATATAGTGACTAACAATTATTCTGATTTAATTTATGTAAATTACCTGGATTAAAAATTATATATCTAAAACTATTATATATAAATTTTTAATTATTATATTTATTTATATTGTCTAATTTTATTGAAAAAATAAGTTCAAAACTACGTTAGAATTATATTTTTTGACAAATTAAAGATATTATTATAAAGAATATTTCAATGTTAAGATTAAAATTAATCAATAAATGAAATAATCAATAAAAAATATTTTTAATTTTAGTTCAAATAATTTGCAAAAAATATTATCAATACTAATATTTATTTTAATAAAAAACAAATAATATTAATTCTATATTCTTTTATAAATTTATTGTATACTAATTGTTAGCCATAGTTGAGTACTGCATAAACTTTTGTTAAGTCTATTCAAACAAAAATCTAGTGTTCAACCAGTTTTTTATTATTTAGTTTCTAGTGTATAATATATATATAATTTACTACTGTAAGTTAATATCATATAAAATATTATTAAAAACCATTTTTCATAATTTGATATCTATTAGTCCTCGAAATACACAATAAATAACAAACAAATAAAGACATTAAACTAATGGTGTAATCGCATGTGTGAACTGTTGTAAGAGAGAGAGAGAGAGAGAGAGAGAGAGAGAGAGAGAGAGAGTCAAAAAATCAGTCATTTGTTGTCATATTATCAATTCTCAGTGGGTTTTGTTGGATGACTTTTGTTTACAGGTAAGTCATATATGAAAATCATAATTTTTAAACAGTATTATCAGTAATTTTAAAACACAATTATATATATAAAGAAGTGTTTCATTAATTATGTCCGAGCGGTTTTCTAAATAACTTTTGATCTGGTAGAGATAAATTATTTCTGTAAAAAGTTTATAATTTAGTTATTTACGCGTGATAATAACCACTTTTCATTTTTAAATTTAAATCATGTGATCATATTTTTAACGGGATGTTTGCAAACCACTATGTCAAAACCTAACCTATAAATAATATGATAACAATTTTATAGCAAATTTGTAAAGCTTAAGTTGATAATTTATGGCAAGAAATTTTTTTTGAAATTGGTCGAAGAATAAATTTTCTATGGCTTTTCGAACTTGTGGAAAAACACATTATATAAAATAATCGAAATTAAAATGACGTTATTTATGGATAGTAGACACTTATTAGATAAAGATTTTAATACTATTACTTTTTCTAAAAACAAAATTTTTTTATGTCGAATATTTTTTTAGATAATCAAATTTAAATAAAAATTACATTATCGTATTACAATGTTGCGTTTTTTAGAGTAATTTAATTATCTGAACAAATATTTGACATAAAAAAATTTTGTTTTTATAAAAAATAATAGTATTAAAATCTTTATCTAATAAGTGTCTACTATCCATAAATAACGTCATTTTAATTTCGATTATTTTATATAATGTGTTTTTCCACAAGTTCGAAAAGCCATAGAAAATTTATTCTTCGACCAATTTCAAAAAAAATTTCTTCCCATAAATTATCAACTTAAGCTTTACAAATTTGCTATAAAATTTTTATCCTATCATTTATAGGTTAGGTTTTGACATAGTGGTTTGCAGACATCCCGTTAAAAATGTGATCACGTGATTTAAATTTAAAAATGAAAAGTGGTTATTATCACGCGTAAATAACTTAATTATAAACTTTTTACAGAAATAATTTAACTCTATCAGATCAAAAGTTATTTAGAAAACCGCTCGGACATAATTAATGAAACACTTCTTTATATATATATATATATATATCATAGCATTATACCGGTACAGTACATACCTTTTGTTTTTTTCTGGTATCGACAACATTGAGCACTGGGTTATGATATGGAGAGTTGGCCAGTAATACTGTTTCAGTAGTCGATGAGTCCATAGTTTATAATTATTTGAAAAAGTGTTTGCCTTTTATTAATATAATCAACAAATTATTATATTAAAAAACTTTTGATATTATAAAAAATTTATTTTTTTAAAATATTTTGTGTCGATAGCAGGCGCTCGACACTACAATTCTATCGCAAGCGTGGATATAACAACTACTCTACCGGTTCCGCACCAGTAGTAGTCTCTTAGCTCTCACACCGACATGTCGTATATATTTTAATTACTAAATAAAACCGTTTTTTATATAACGCGTGTATTTACGTTAATTACTTTTACCGCCGATTTCCCGATTATTGAGTTGGTCACCGCTCGCAATGCGATAACCGACTCAATTGGCGCAGTCGCCGAGATCGAATTTACGCTAAAAATCACCGATTTTTATACCCCATTTTTAACCGTTTTTACGACTAGCCGTTTGAATGCTAAATTCAACGGTTTTTTTGGACGCCATTTATTTTAACGATTTTTATTAACCGACTTTTGCGACGACATTAAGAGCTTATTAAGAAGCGAAAAGACCGAAGAAGGTAACGATGTCTCTCCGATCGGGTAATACTTACAGGGGAACCCTGCCGCCAACCGAAGTTATTACCGAAAATATTTCCGCCGAAGATAACTCCGAAGACATGACGAAATTTGCCGACGAATTGGATAGTCTAACTCAAGGAATCACCGCCGAAACTAACTTCGAAGAGTTAGCCGAACGTATGGCCACGTTGGCCACCGCTGCCCGCGCCGCTGCGGCAGCCCGCGAACAGACTATCCAAGCCGAATCCGCCGCCCGACCGATGACAAATGCGAATGCAATGAGACGATTAGACTTCGTAGATACCCGAAATGCGAGACCACTACCGACGGCAGCACCCGCCAAGACATCATCGAAGATGTGCGATTCGTTTAGTGGTGACAAATCGATAGTTCCGATAGACGAATGGATCATAGGATTTGGATCCTTAGTATACGATTTTACCGATAATGAGAAGCTAACGTCGATGGCCAAGCATCTGACCGGCGAAGCCTTCAGCTGGTACTGCCGAGAGGTAGCCAGTAAGCGACCGAATATCACGTGGGATACGTGTAGATCGAAAATAATCGCCCGTTTCGGCCGTGTGGTAGGCCACGGGATAGTAGAGGCGTCCGAGCGACGACTAAGAGGAAGCGAATCCGTATTGTCTTATTATAATGACATGCGCCGGCTTTTGGATGAAACAGACGTCGGAGACAAAGATAAGGTCGGCCTACTTACCAAAGGTATGCCCGACTGGTATAAACCTCATCTGGCCGCCCAGTACCCGAAGACTCCTGAAGATTGGTTCCGTATAGCCGTAGCAATAGAAGAAACCCGAAAAAGACAGCGATATCCCGGAGTTAATACGATGGAAGACACCGAAGATAAGACGAAACACGAAAAGAAATACGATTGGAAAAAGAAGCGAAATAACGACAAACCTACCGTTCCTTGCCCTCGCTGTAAGCGATATGGTGCCACTGAATACCATTGGATGCGTCTCTGCCACCGCCCGGACACTAGATTACAGCCAGCTCCGCGACCGGCCGCTGGTAATGACTCGACAGCCGCTGTCAACGCGATAGTTATTAATGACGACCGCCATTACGGCGTGAAGATAAACGACAAACCCGTAAATGCATTCATGGATCATGGATCCGAATTAACGATATTATCAAAAGAAATCGCCGATGATTTGAGATTACGACCCGCTGGACGAGGTATCAGAGTAAAGACCGTGGCCGGATTCAAGACCACTCTCGGAGAAGTCCGAGTCGACATCAAACTGGACCGACAGACCGCCAGAGTATCGATGCACGTAATGGACGATATATCGTATGATGTCATCGTTGGCATCGACATAGCGTATATGGAGACGAAAGTGCGACTAAAAGATCAACAAAACGTTAAAAGCTATTCAATTAAAGTCGCAAATTTACCGACAATTGGTTTAATCACAGTAGTTGATCCCGCGTTAGCAACCGAATCAGTACTTCCTAAGCCCGATGCTAATCCGATAGCTCAACAACCGAAACATATGCCAATCGAAAAGATGACGATAAAAGAGACCGACGATCAGATAGTAAAGAAACTCATCCGACCGTCGCTTACTCAGTTGACAACTCACGACAATCACCGAAATCTCATTTACGACAAACAGCACGAAATCAAAGCGTATAAAATCCGAAAACCAAAGATAATCGATGGACTCATACACGTAGCCTATCGTGGCGTCACTAAATTAGTTGTACCGCCATCGATGGTCGCAAACGTAATAAAAGAGTTCCACAACGACACCAAACATCACGATTTTAATCATACATTTCGATTGGTTTCATCGAAACATTGGTGGCCAACGCTGAGAACCGATATCTCCAACTTTATTAAGAGATGCCACCGATACCGACAAAACGTTACTAAACGATATCGTAAACCGCCTATCATACGCAATGTCAGACACGACGATAAGCATCGCTCATCTGATTTACGTATCGGTGATGTCGTTAAGTATCGCATACCAGACCGTCACTCTCCGCGAAACAATAAGTACATACACGGTCTGTACCGTATAGTTGATCAGATCGGTCCCGAAACTTTTCGTATAAAACAATTCAACGTAAGAGATGCTAATGTCATGAAAACGTTTGTTTCTCATTCATCGCATCTCTTACGCTATCATCGCTATCACAACTCGCTGATCACCGAAAACATATCCAACGCTAACGATCCTGACATCGATTACTGCCCGCCGAAACACAAGCATCGCATTGGCCATCCGTTCCGACCTATGGCCGGAATCTCGCGGCCGGGGAGTGTGTCGATAGCAGGCGCTCGACACTACAATTCTATCGCAAGCGTGGATATAACAACTACTCTACCGGTTCCGCACCAGTAGTAGTCTCTTAGCTCTCACACCGACATGTCGTATATATTTTAATTACTAAATAAAACCGTTTTTTATATAACGCGTGTATTTACGTTAATTACTTTTACCGCCGATTTCCCGATTATTGAGTTGGTCACCGCTCGCAATGCGATAACCGACTCAATTTAATTACAAAATCTTTTAACAGAATTAAATCATTTTTTGTATTACAGTATTTATATCAATATTTACTAATATTACGTGTTTTTAATTTTATCAACAATTCATATATTTATTAACATTGCGTGTTTTAAGTTTATCAAATAATTTTTCAATTTTACTATTGATAAAAATATAATTGATAATAAAAATTTCAATATAAATTAGCTGTACAATAATAATCTTTATTGATCATAACACGTTGATACAATTAATATTTACATATATGATACAAATTTTATTTTATATAATAAACATAATAAATGTTATAATGTTAATGTTAAAATGTTATACAATAAAATCAAAAAAATAAAACTATCTTTAAAAACATCTAATAATTACAACAATATTGCATAATATGAAACTTGAATTATCTTTTAATTATATTTTGTAAAATATATTTATTGGATAATATTTTTTACTCTTATCTAAAAAATTATTACAGTATTTCATATTTCTATTAAATAAACGTATAATACATATTATTATTTGATATCCTAATATAGCAGTACGAGTTATTTTAAATATGAAATTAACAAAAATAAATAGTTAATTACAAAATTTTATATTACAGTATAAATATAATTAATTCTAAATTATTTTTTCTTTGCTTTGAATGTAGTTTATTATGAATTAAAGTAATATAAATTATTGAATTAATACAATGTTTGACATTTATAATACACTTGACAATAATGACAATTAATTTATTTATAATAATAATAATAATACTATAGTTTATATAGACTAATATACAATATTTAATAAGATTAAATATTATATTTATTTAGTATTATATAACTTATAAAACGATTGTAATATATATATAAATAAAACACAGAATTTTAGTATTTGAAGTTTATTGTATTATTTAAAACTTAATTATATATAATATTTATTAATTAAAAAATATAAATTAATTATAATCACAGATAAATAGTAAACTCATTAAAAATTAATACATTCAATAATGAATAGTTTATTAAATTAATAAAATGTAAATTATAACGTTATGTTTGATATAAATTTGTCATTAATTGATTTTAATATAAGGACAGCAAATATTCTGTACATAATTAAAAGTTTGTAAATCATTGACATTTTATTTTATTTATATTTAGTAAATATGCTATAATTTTACTTACAGTTATGATCTAATATTTTATAATATTGTTATACAAAAGAATTTTTAACCAAAAATATTATTATTAATTTATTATACAATAAGTTATATTATATTTGTTAATATATGTTTGTATTAAACATAATAAACTAAATTTTATTATTAAACATATACTTTAATTTATAACTTAATTATTAAATCTAGATTTTTGTTGAATAAAATTCTATAAATATATAATATATTTTTAGTAATATCTGTATACATAATAAATTGCAGACTCTATTACTGTATATACAATATATACTGTATAGATATATAATTCAATATTTAATTATCATAAAATCTATTTAGCTAACAAAAATAAATAAAAAATTGAACATAAAAATATATAAATCAAACATAAAAATTTAATTAAAATACTTATTATTATAATATTATTTTAGATAAGTGACATTTTAAAAAAAATTAAAAATATATAATTATAATGTATTCACTTTTAAATTAATCCATTATTTGATTTTAAAAATGTTAGATATTAAATATTTCTAAAAACATTTTTAAATAATTTTAAGCTTTATTTGTTGCTAAATATAATGATGATTTTATTTTTAAAAATATTACGATAAAAAACAATAATGAAAATTACTTTAATTATATTAAATTATTTTTACCATATTTATTTTCAAACATTAATTATTTAAGTATTAGTTTTATAACTTATCATATAATAATAACATATGATTATACATATTACTATAAAAATCATATTATAATCTAATCTAAATGTTAATAAGACTATCAAGGTTTTAATAAAAAATTTTTATAGTTATTATCATTTATTAAAAATATGATTTTAATAAAATTAAAATGAGAATATAGAGACCAATAAATATTATTGGGAAGAAAATACAGTATATAATGCCATAAATGTCATTATTTTTATATTATAATAAAAATATTGTCATATTTTTTGGTGGGAAAGGGAGGGGCAGACAACCTATAGGATTACAATATAAAAAACATTTGTTTGTTTTTTCTCTTAAATATTTTGAACCACATTATCACCAGTCGATTGATTGCTATTTTCATTGTTATTATCATTACTGCTATTATTACTATAGTTGTCGTCGTCATTGTCGGCCTCGACAACAGTATTGTGTCTCGACTTGATATATACCGATCCGTTAAGTGTGGTCTCATCAATGGTGGCCCGTATGGTGCCGTGTCTGGCCCGACCCCATGACTGAGGTTTGGCCGAAATAAACAAACAGAAACTAATGGCACCGACCAAATAGATTCCGGCCGCCAAATAAAACAGAATATTCCATTGGCTCATCGGGTTAGACGACTGTCCAAAATAAATAAATAAATAATCAAATTTATTAATATATTTAATAGTAATATAAAATAATTTTATGTTTTATATAAATTACGAAATTGTTTTATTTACTGTATATAATAATAATTTTATTCAATATTTTTAAAAAAAATTATAGTATAGTACTGTATAGTATGTGTGTGTGTGCCGACAATATTTATTAAGAGATGAGACATAATAAAAAAAGCATTGACTAAACAATAATAAAAAAAAATTAAATTACTTTCAACGATCAACATAATGGATAAATATAACATCAATTTTTATTTTTTGTTGTTTTAAAAATATAAATGTATAAATTTTTAGTTCATAATATAATACTGTACTCTATATGAAGCAATAATTTTTGTAGATTTATTGTTGAAATATTATACATTAAATAAATCCTTAAATAATAGATCATTAAATGTTAGTCATATGTGTTTAAAATTTGTATTATTTTTTGTGATATAGTTTTTCATTTAATAGACCAGTTTATGCGACATTTATATTTTTTTATTGCTAGGTATTATACTCTAACTATTTTTTAGTTATTTTAATATTATCTCTTAAAATAAACCAACAAAATCTACTATTTTTTCGTTATTTATTAAACTATATTATATAAGTTTAAATTTCATTGAACTTTAGACAAATTTTAAATTTAAACTAAATAATTAAATATTAAAAAATATATATATATAGTCATTAGTTTATATGTAAACAAAATATATTTTTATAATTGTAATATAAGTGATATAATGTAATAAAAAACATTATTTTTTGTAAGTGATAAGTTTATAAAGTATTATGTCGATAAATAGTACTTTAATTGAAATTTTGATTAAAATAAATTTAATATATTTTCATCTCAACGTCATATGTAAAATAATGAATAATCAATTGTCAAATAAATTATCTTTAATATATTTTTCACATATATTATATATATAACTTATATAACTGTGGGGCAATTTTGATAAATTACTATTCAGTTTATTCTATATATTATTATTATATAATTATATTTCAATATTACAAAAATATGTTGCAAACAATGTATCTATAGTATAATATTTATATGCCTGTAATATACATTATATAAATTACATTATTTAGAAAATTATAAATTATGAAAACATCATATAGTTATTCTGATGGCATAAAATATTTGCTCTAATTATAGACGAAAATCAGTAAAATATGTAAATTTTTTATTATTGATAAACTTATAGAGAAATGTTATATAGAGTATATATATATATATATATATATATATATATATATATATATATATATATATTATAAATATATATCAGTATTTATATGGTTTTATAAATGACATTAGATTTAAGGCAAATGTTCATAATTTGAAAGCATAGCTAATATTTCAAACACTTATTTTGAATACCAAATACATAAAAGATATTATGATTACGTGAATTTGATTTTATTTTTATCAATTTATATATATATACACTATATATTGTATAAACAGTATATAAAAAAACTAAAAACACCTATTATGTTTGTAATATATATATATATATATATTCTAGAAAATAAAAACTAACAAAAAGCTCTCATTGTTTGTAACAAATTGATTGGAAATAATCTGCAAAACTATTTGTTCACAAAATATACAAAAACACTGCATTTTACTATTTAAACTCCTACTTGTTTTCTGTAAAAATCAATCCCTGGAAACAATTTTTTTGTTGTTGAAAAATACAAAAATATATATTTTGAGACATAAATTATATCACACAAACACATACACATATGTAATGTATGTATAATAAAATACTAAAAATAATTTTTTAGGAATTGCCTGAATTGTTTACATAAAACTATCTTAATATACAATATAAATTGTATTAAAAATTTATAAATTATAGCAATCAATTAATTTAAATAATAGTTAAAAATATTAATGAATTTCTTACAGTATTGCCGTCGAGTACGAGTCCGACCACTAATGGGGCCAAAAATCCCGGAAAACTGGCAAACGAATTGGTGAGACCGTAGAGAGAGCCGGAGTAATCGGGCGCCACATCGACAACAATCGGTGAATCGCCGCCAGCCATAAGTCCCAACACTATCATACCAAATATGAGAAGCGTAATGACGGCGCCCTGATTGCAGCCAACGGCCGGTATGACTGCCATTAAAACCGCTGCTCCACTCAGACCCAGTGTTTCAAACAGTTTCCGCGAAACCGTACGATTCATTAGACGTCTTCTTTCGATAAGATCCGATATGTAACCGAAAAACATTAGTGAAACGCTTAAAGCTATGTATATACAGGCGTTGACCACACCATTCTATGGGAGGGAAAGATTGGGTCATTAAAGTTATTAAAAAAATAATAAATCAATCAATTCAGTTATGAATGGTCTTACCAGATCCATGGACAGGTGTAGTACCGATTCCAGATAAGCAGGCAGTTTGGACATTAGAAACAGATTGCCCCAGGCAGCACAAAATTTGGTTATAAGTATGATCCAAACTTGTCGGGACTTGAGTATGGATCCCCAGGGAACATAGGAACGACCCCTTTTGCGTCGGGAACTGGCCGTCACGTGGGCCTGAATGTACATTAGCTCGTCGTCGCTGATTCTGGGATGTTCTTGAGGTGTGTTGTGTATAACGTAAAACCAGGGGAAAAAACAAACACAGCCTAAAATGCCCAACACGTAGAACACTGCCGGCCAGCCGTCGGCAAACACTTCCTGCTGTGAAAGGGCTGCCGACAGTGGACTTGTAATAACTGCACCGATATTGCCGCCGACCTGTATCAGTGCCAGTGTTAGTCCTCTTTCTTGCAATGGTATCCAATAGGCAAGCATTGTGTATAACGATGGTGTGAGCACTCCCTACCAAATAAATGATTATTATTATTGATTACAAAATATTAATATATAATTTTTAAATACCTGAGCCAAACCGGTAGCTATTCGGACTACAATAACTGAATAGACTGACCAATTGGCGCAAACAGGAATTATCAATGTCAGTATACCGGAACTCAATAGTGAGGCGCCCACCAGTAAACGAGCACCCATCCAATCGGCTAACTGTCCGCCAAAACAATTAGTCACAATATAGCCGTAATAATAAGCGCCCAAAACGACACCTTGAATTGATTCCGACCATTCAAAGTCACCCTCAATTTCCTATCATTTTTTAAACATTGATTAGTAATTATAAATGTTTATATATATATAATATACATTAATATATTATACTTCTTTTGAATTAGTTTGACTACCACTACCGTCACCAACAGGACAGGTATCATAATCATGAGTGCCATCGTTTCGTTTAACCATTGCAACAATAGTTAGATTTAAATTGGTTCGCATTGTATATGACAAACCATTGGCTATAACACTTAACAATACGATTAAGTATCGCACGGGTATACATCCTATAATCAAATTAAATTAAAAATAAAGTCAATAATTGATAATCTCTTAAATTTGTGAAAAAAACATTATATATATAATTTTGTCTATTGACTAAAATACATGATTTAATTTTTTTAAAACAAAACAAAAATACGATATAATTAATGATATAATGAATTGTTATGACAACAAATACCTAATCCGTGTTTAGAGGAGTTGTTAACAGATTTTTTGCCAGAAACTAATGAGTCGTTCCTTAGTTTTGACATTTTTCTCTCTTTCTCTCTAAAGCTCTAAATTTATTGATAATAATTATTAGTTTTAAGTTTTATATTTAAAAAAATAAAATAAATTTGTTTACCAAAAAATAAATAAATAAAATAACTTAGTTTTGAATATGACTTATTTCTTTTTTCATAAAATATATTTATAACAAACAAACAAATTATTATTATATTTTAATTTAAAAAAATAGCATGAAGTGTATACTACTGTAAATTATTATTATTATTAAAAATACGATATATCTATGAAAAAATCGGGTTTTTATGGTATAACTCGTGAAATTAATATAAGTTGTAATTATTAATATAATATAAAAAATAAGTTTAGAAAATTTCCAATTTTTGATTGAGTTTTTATTTTATTTTTTTTAATTATATAGTATATACAATCAGAGATAAATATATACATTAATTGCCTTTCTTTATGATGTTTTCAAAACTATTTAATATAAAATTAAAAAATTTATAAATATAAACTGAAGCCAAATATGCATGACTTTTATATACCTTCAATTTTCATGAAATTATACTATTAAAAAATAAAAAATTGTTTGCGAAATACATACTGTAGTTAAACCTATAGTTAATATATATATATATAATATAAGCGTCACTAATGATAAATAACGGATTGTCTTTATTATTATTATTATTAAAGGCATAGCAATTGTTTTATTTATTATATGCTGTATAAAGATATCATATAAAATATAACATTTTATATACTAAGATAGTGTTTTTGTTAGTAAAGTCATTAAAAATTTTCGTTTTATATTTTTATTAGATTTATTGCATATTTGATGCTTCAATATATTTATGTCTTAATATAATACAGTAATATTAAAACAAAACATATATATATATATATAAAATCATTATTAATGATGAGTTTTAAATGGATTTTTTGTTGCGAAACTTATTACTTAGAAAAATATCTAAAATGTTTACTAGTTTTTTAAAAAAGATATATAACATCAGTAAATAATTATTTGTTTTTTATAAATATTAATATATTTTTCTTGTTATTAAAATATACAAATTTTAAATCTGTTTTTTTAATATAATATATAAAATTATGTTTTTATGACAATTATAAAGTGCATTTTTAATGGCAGTATATATATTGTATAATTAATTTCATAAGAAAGTGTGACTAACTTTTTTTTGATATGTTATCTCTTAGAAAAAAATAAGATAATTAATTTATTTGTTATTAAAATATTGTAGTAATTGACAATAAAAATAACCATATAAGGTCCTGTTTTTTGTCTAATATAATTAAATTATAAATAACTCATATTAAATAAAATCGGCATATTTAAAAAAACATTATGTTAAATATACAATTATTGTATTATATGTATGCAATTATAGCCGATAAATGTAATAAAATACTAATTTTGTTGTCCATTAAAATCAATTATAATAATTATATTTGTTTTTCTCTGTTTTTTTTATTTCATTCTACATTAGAAACTGTTTTTTAAAATTTTATTATCTTAATTAATTAAGTTATAAATTAATTATCATATTATAAAATGCATCACTTTATTTCGTAAGTTTATTATTAGTAGTAAATTTATAATAATATGTTTTATTCATTTTCTATAAAATGTACATTAGTTTGCTAATTGTTAAAAAATATTTATAATTCAGTAATAGATTAATTATTTACAATATATAAATTTTATTTAAAAATGTAAATTATTTTTTATGTTTAAATTAAGATATCTCACCAAATATTTAATATAATGCTAAATACCAATAGTTATAATTTATTATCAAATTATTTGTAACTATAAATACCGGTATATTAGATTAACATAAGCATTATGAGTATATTTTACAAAATACTATTTATTATATAAATACTGAATAATATTTTATAATACTGTATATAATATACTGTTATGTTAGATATTAATCAAAATATAATCTTCTATTGATTTTGATCATTGTATACAATAATCATTAAAATTACTCATTAATTAAGATTCAATGGTCTAATTTGTATTAATATACAGTATGTATTTTATTTAAATTTCATTTTAAATAATAGATATTACTAAATTATTTTTAACTTATATTATAGCAATTTTTATTCATTATTTATATCTAATATTTTTTTTATTGATAGTTAATAATATTATACTAAATATATAGAAATGTGGAATTTATTAATATAAAGATTATTATTAATAATAATAAGTAATTATCTATAGAATATGTCTTAATGTTTGTTAGAAAATATTCCAATAACTTTCAATATATCATATAAATATTAATTACATAATAATTTTATATTACAAATAGTGTTGAGAGTGAAAACATTGTATTAAAAGTACACAATTTAATAAAATACTAATATAATCATAATTAAAATAATTGATTTTATATTTATTTTTATAAAAATTATATCTAAATTAAGTTATTTTTTATTATTTATAATTAAACAATATTATATTAACTTTGTACAACTTTGTATAAACAGTATTGTATAATTTACTATATTATCTATTTATAAACATTTTCTAACAAATATAATTTTTTTATGTACAGTATGTTAATTTTAATATATTTGATAAATAATTATTTTGTTTAAATTGAATATTAATGTTACTAATTTACCAATTATTCTGTAACTAATATGTTAATGAAATCATTATGAAATTATTAATTTAATTTTTTATATATTATATATGTTAAAGAATAGTAAATTTATCTATAACATTTATTATATATAATGCACATTATCCTGTTAACAAATTTCAAATAAATAAAAAATTTGATTACTAAAATTATTATTATCTGCTTTATTTACATAATTTTTATCGATATGAAACATAATATAAAAAAATTATTATAAAAATATTATTATAAAAATATTATTAAAAAAATATTTTTTTAAAATACAATTGATGCAAATTAATATAAAACTAGGTAAATATTTTTATCAAAAATATTTGAATCGATATTATAATCTAAGACATTTATTAATAAAATAACAATAAATTAAACTACTATAACTTTATTGTAGGTTTAAAATTGTAAATAAAATAATTTAATAATATTTTTTTAATAAAAAAAACTTATTAATATCTAATTTTAAAGTAATAGTCTATAATAATAATAATAATAATTTTTATGCAAATATTTATCAAACTAAATTCTTAAAATAAAAATATAAATAAATCATAAAAATTTTAATATTAATACATAATTAATAATACTGTATACAGTAAAGTACAGGTATATTGATAAAAATTATAAATTTACTAATCAATTTAAAATTGTTTTGCTTATTTTGCATATTTTTTATTTACAACAATTGCTCCAGGTACATACAATATAATTTAATAAATATATTCTTACAATTTGTAAATAATTTTTATATGTTTGAAAAAAAAGATTTAATAAAAGTAAAAATAAAATAATAATTATTTTGAAAACAGAATTAAGTATTTTTTATGAGTTTTTTTTAATTTGTCATATTTTGTATCGGTTTATTAACTTATATTACATAAATTTATAAATATTTTTTATTTGATGTCATTACACGTGCCTAACATTACACATACATTATCATAGAATAAACAGTAATATTTGAGATAACCTTATATTCAATTTAATGCTAAGTAATCGCTTAGGTTTGGATATAACTTTGATTTTGTTTATTTGTTTAGTTTGAGTAGTAGTAGTAATATTAGTAGTAGTAATAATAATAATAGTCTATTTTATATGTATTAATAATAAGCAATAAACACTTAATCAACAAACTTGTCAAAATCAAGTTATATGATACTTATTTTTTATGCAATAAAAATAAAAATTAAATTATACTTTAGACTGATAAAGATTTTTAATTTTAGATAAATAATTCAAAGTAATATAAAGTAAATACGTTAATATGTTTACACTGACAAATACAACTAAGATAATAATAATATATTAAGACCGTATTTATTTTATATCGACAAATTAGATTGGGGATGATTCACATATTACGTTTGTAATTGGGGGATAGGGAATGTCGGCGAAAAATTAACTTTTGCTAACGAGTGAAACCTTAAGAACTTTTGCATTTAAATAATTTAATGAATTAATTTTTATCAGTTTAACAGTTTGAATAAATATATGCCTTTTTAATAGAAATAGTTTTATTTCCAGTTTTTTTGGAATATTTTATAAAATATTAATTTAAATCATTATTTTATTGTTTAAATTAATTATATTTATTAGGGATGGGGATTAGAAACATGCGAACGTGATTTTTTAAAATTACTATATGAAAACATAGGGGTAGGGGGTTATATTACTTAAAAAGCGCGAATGTAATATATGAATCACCTCTTATATAGTTAATATTAAGCGTATAAAAATATTCATTTATTTTTTATAAAAAAAATCCCTAATATATATATATATTAGGGATTACATCTCAAAAACATTTAGATAGAATTAATTTTTAATTTTATTATTGAATTATTTTTAATTTAATCGACACTAAAATATATTAATTTATTAATTTATATGTTATATACAAGAATATTACTTTTACAATATTGCTGTATTATGTCGTATAATATTATTTATATAATAAATAAACATTAATTATATCATTGTATATTATAAATTATTTATATTTTACTAAATGCTTTATTATAAAATAATATATATAGTATTATATACCTTTAAATATAATTTTTCTTAAATAATTAAATCTTGAAAAATAAAATAATAAACTAATATAATAAATACAACAATATTAAAAAATACTATTATATTAGTTTATTATTTTATAGTAATTTCGATAGTAATTGAAATATTTCAATGTTTACCAAAAATAACTTATTTTGTCCACAAAAATAATATAGTTTTCATAAATTTATTCAAACTATTATTCGTTTTTCGTGTTAAGTTAACATTATCTTAACATTTTTTTACTGATAACCACAAAATGTAATAATAATAATAATATTGATATCATTTGAATACACTCCTAATGTCCATCTAAAGTACTCTTTAGTTAAACAAAATTTAAATAATATTATGTTATTTCGTGACTTATGTAAAGATTTATGCGAACATAAAATTAATATATTTATTTGATAACTATTATGGTTTACTATAAGTAAAGTATATATGTTTTTTAAAAAAATAAAATTGTTTAATCTTATTAAAAAAAATTATTGATTAATATTGTAGATATTAGTGATACCAGTATTAATATTGACTATAGATAGCTGATAGCTAAGTAACAATATAATAATAATAACAACAACAAAAAGATTAATCTAATTTTAAGAATTTTATTTTTAATCTTATGGATAATATTAATATAAAAAACTACTAATATATATATTTTTATTAACTTTACAATATTTACTATTTATTTGATTCGATACTTTAGTATTATAAATTTTAATATGATAAATAAAAAAATTTTTTTTTAATTATATCACCATTATAAATGTATTAAACTAGATTATGTAAAATTCATAAAAAAGATTATATTAAAATTAAATATAGATAGATAATAGATAGATAGAAAGTAATATATAGATAAAAATAAATAAATAAATAGAGAGAGAGAGAGAGAGAGACTAAAGTTTTGAATTTGCAGCGCATGTATGTTATGTGGATGTCATTTGCTGGTAGAAAACAGTTGTATAAATAGTCTGTTTATATATCGGTTAGAAATTTAGTATACTATATGACTCTCTTTCTCTATCTATCTCTCTCTAGACATAACTCTACAGTGAAGTTCATATTTATAAATACAAACTCATCCAAAAACTGACAAAACCATTAATAGTTGTTAACAAAAAAAAACAATTTTATGATTATTTACACTCAAATGTGAAGTTATTTTGTGTTTCTGTGTGTGGTTTGTGGTATTGTTTATATATATATATATATATAAAGTTATATAAAAAATAAATAAACATATATTTTTATGCTTATTATTATTAATGGCTTTATTTTTTGTTTTGAAATACATGTCACAAAAAAGTGCCAAATGAAAGCCCAATATTATGTTTAAATTAAGGGCCAAAACCAATACCACCACCACATCTCTGGGGGTAATCATTGTCACACTTATTATTGGATCGACAATAATACAGCTACCGGTGCTGTTATGTGCTGACATCGGCGATAATAATCAAAAAAGTGAGCACTACTTGTTGCATAAAATATTACTTTTAAATATATTTATATAATTAGTTATTATTATTATTTAAAAAATGTTTTTGTGTAGTTTTATACAAAAATTAATAATAATAATATTTATTTCTTAATATATACTATATATATATTGCATTTATTAACATAATATTAATACAAATTATTCATATGAAAAAAAACTTTATACAAATTAGTTGAAAATTTTTTTAATGTAAAAAATATTTCCCACTGTTTTATGTAAATATTGAATGTTAAAAATTAATTTTCTTAAATTTTTCTTATTATTATATTATATATAATAGTATATTTGATATAATGCATTGTTGTTATTGTTTTTATTTAATAATAGAATAATGTTAAATATATTTTTATTCAATTTATATATAATAAGATAAGTGATAATCACTGTAATACAGTATTTTTAGTTTATTTTTATTTTTTTTTGAGGGAAGCATTTGGTTTTACTTGAATGCATATTATATTATACCAGTACTGGCCATACAAGTGATTGAATTCCCCCCAGAAATAGCACTTTCTTGTAATACATTAGTTATCCAAATGTATTGTCTAATGCAATGAAACGCCTGTTTTCTGCTGTAAAAGCAAACACACACTAGTAATGTCATTTGCAACGAAAGTCTCTCTCTCTCCCTCTCTCTCTCTCTCTCTCTCTCTCTCTCTCTCTCAAACACACACACACACACACACTTACCCACTCACCCACTCCCTCACTGACCACATACACAAACACACATTTTGTCCATAAATTTATTGGGTATACTATACTTATCCAGTGATTTGTTGTCTACTATAACCTTAAAATCATTTATTTTTTTGTTGATACCCAATAACTCTATGAACTTTACATATGTTATACCAATTGATAAATGTGTTTACGTGAGGTTTGCTCATCAATATTCAAAATACGTACGGATTTTGTAAGATTTTTGTAGTTGTTTTTGTTAATCAATAAATCTCAACAAACTGTGAAACATATATATGTTTTTATGATAAACTATTATAATTTTATTTTGTTGTCATTTATTTTAATTTTATTAAATTAAAAATTTAAACTTAAAATCAATATAAGCAACAAATAACAAACAAAAATTCAAACTTTATTTTTTTGTACAATAATACAAAAATTTATATATTTATCACTTTGACATACAATTATTTATTTAACATAATGTTGAACGCATTAGTTTTTAGAAATCTATAATACAATATATATATATTTATCTATAAATAAATTTATAGCTATATATACTGTCTATAAATGCATGTCATTTAAGTTGCCATTTATCTGTTAATAGCAATAAAAGTATTAAATATTTAAGACATGATTTATGAATTGTTTCACTTTTTAATGACAATTTCCTTAAAAGTTTCCGTCTCTTTCTCTCTAAAATAATGTCAATATTGTTTTCAAATAATATTCAATATATTTATTCAACTAATTTTTAACATAAATCTAAAAATAACTAAAACTATTTTTAAAATAAAGTTTTTCATAAATTGAAGTCCAAGTTAAATTTGAAACAGTTAAACTTTAAATAAATAAATATAACAATATTTATATTAATAGTTAAACTATAAGCAATTATGTTTTTAATATAGTAATTATTATTTTCTAACTATGTATTAATTTAATAACAAAACTATTGTTATTAAATAAAACTAGTAATAATTATTATATCAAAATTCTTATACTATTTATTAATTTAAATAAATAGAAAATAATAATAAAATAATAAATATTTTCAATTATATTTACATTTATCATATTAGGTACCATCGCTTATAACTTATAACCCAAATAAACTAATGATTATATTATGAATCATAATTTATGATATAATATAATGATTGTCCATTTATTGCTATAGGATTCCTATTAATCATTTAGTATTACGACTTTTTTTTTATTAAGTGTATTAAGATTATGCAAAAGTTTGTAAAATTTTGTTTTTATTATTTACTACAAATTTTGTTGTACATTATATTAATTAGAAATCATAAAGATTTAATAGATGTATTAATAGTATCCAATTGCTAACTATTATAGTTAATCTGAAATTCTATTTTAAATAAAATTGATTAAATTATTTATGTTAATGGAAATCTAACGATATATTTAGATAAAATTTATACTATTTTCCATTAATAAATATAATTAAAAATGTACAATCATTATAATTTTATAATATTATTAATTTAGGCATAATAGGGAAATAATATACAAAAATGAGATTATAGTTATATATATAATCATTTTAATGTATATATAATTAATATAGATTATAATTATTAAAAAGCTAATTAAGAACATTTTAATAATATATAGTATTTATATATATATACAATTTTAAAAATAAAATTAATGACATTAAAAACATATAATAAATAATTTTATTAAAATTTATCTAGAACAATTATATCAACACAAAAGTTTATTATTGTAAATATATTTTTCTCAAATAAATCACCATTTTTCATGAAATTTGCTTAATTAGCTAATTATATATTTCCTAGAGATTTAAAAAAAATTATTTATATATGACTAAACAAAATCATTTAAGAGGATTAGATTTGAAGTTATAATATTAAATATAAATTTTATAATACAATTGAAAACATAAGTGTAGTTTTGTGATTAATTTGAAATAATAATAATAATAAACATCTATTACAATATCATTAAAATAATATAACAAAATTTGTAATTTACACAAATAAAATTATTTATATTTTTGCACAAATTTCTATTTATTTCTTAAATAATTTTAATTGCTCATTAAAATTAATTTTATTAATATTATTTAATCAAATAAATAATTATATCTATAATTATCATAATAACATTTGTTATGTATTTAATAAATGGAATAATTTTTTTTAAAAAACATATGAATTTAATATTATTTAAATGTAATTTTACTTAAAAACTTTAAATCTTAAATAACTTCTGATTAATTTCATTAAACATTTAGAGACAGAAATAATTAAATTTTTGGGTAATAATTTAATTAATTCAATAATAATAATATATAAAAAACATTTATAATATCTCAGATAATTTATCTGTATTTATAAATATATGTGTTGTAAATATCAAAAATAATAAAATCTAATAAATATAATTACTATTTTATATCGTTGGTCTATTTGTATTTTATAATTGTTTATTTTGTATATATATTAAAATTAATATATTTAAAAATTAATTACAAACAAAAGTAAATTTTATAAATTTTATTAACTATCAAACGATAACATTAATCATAGTCAAAATCGAGCCCACAATTTAAATAAAATAAAATATAAAATATTTTATGTTTAATGCAATATCTGTTATAATATTATTGAACTTTAGGCTATTAATTAATTATATATAAACATTTTATGTGAAATAATTTTTTTGTTTAAAACTATTGATTTATACAAATTATATTATAATTCAGACAATTATTCATTGAAAATATTTGCTGTGCTTTAAATTAAAAAATTTTCAAAATAAATTTTTTGAATTTTTGTATTAAAAAAAATCAAAAATAATTTATCATTACAATGACTAATAGTTTTATATTATATTGCATTTTTGCTATTTTTTATTTTTAGTTCAAAATATAAAGTATTATATAATACTAATTTTAAATATTCAGATAATTACAAAAAAATTTTACAAAATATTGCTAATTAATTTTAAATATAATTAAAACTTAATATAGTAAAATTTAATTAACTTTATAAAATGTATTTATATATTTTGTATTTTATTAAGTATAAAATTTTTATTTTTAGCAATATTTTTTAATATAAGTATAATTTCTATTATTTTTAAATCATTTTCTATTATTTATTACATTGTAATATGTATAGTATGTAAAGTGTTTACTGTATAATAAAAAAAGTTATAAAAATATTTGTTAAATAAAACTAATAATACAACAAATATAATACAAAGATATTTATGAATATTAATTAATTATTTTTCCAGATATATTACTAATTAATTCAATAAAATGCAATTGAATTTAATTAAACTAATATTATTAACATAACAAACAATTTTTGTTTCAGAAACTATTGATTCACATTTAGAGACAACCTTTGATAGAGGTATCGGTGAACCCAATCCTCCATTTGTTTTGGAGACTAAACGTGCGCTTTGTTTGGATGAAAGTGTGATTAAGTGTAATAATTCAGTTGATCTTTGTTTTCACTCCAATGCCAAATGTGATGGTATTAGTGACTGTCCCGATGGTTATGATGAAAATGTGTCACTATGTGGTAAGTGATTGACATAATTTTTTTTTATTAATATTACTAACATATTAAATTGTAATAAAATTAATTAATAATTAACCTATCATTATATAAATTTATTTTTTCCTAATGTCTAAATTGTGTATGTGATTTGAATATAATAATTATCATTACATTTTTATTTAAAAATTGTTTTTTTAATTTATCCTCTAAATAGTCTGACTAATAATATTTAGATATATATATATATATATATATATAATTAATAAATAGTAGATATACTGTATAATACAAAATAATAATCTTCTAATTATATTAATAACTAAATAATAAAATTAATACAACGTGTAATTGACAAAAATATATTTTTATTATTATTTTACTACTACAGTGTGTGTGTTTCTAAAAATATAAATACTATTTATATAATATTTACATTATAATAACATTTATTAATTCATAAATTATTAATAATATCAATATTATCTGTATTTGTATTTTATCTAAATGATAATGTAATTTATATTTCATAGCTTTGTGTTATTTCATTAATTAATAGACCGTTAAATGTATTTTTAAGCCACATTTAACACAAATATAAATTAAATTTATAGTAAAGAAATGTTTTTAAAATTATATTGAAAATCATTCAATGAGATAACAAGTTAAATCAAGTTTGATAAATAACTTAAAAACTTAAAATTTAAAAAATTATTGAAAAAACTGCGATAAAAAATTAAATTAAAATTTCTAATCATATATAATAAATTGTTTTGACATTTTATACAGTATTATATTATTATGCTATAAAGTAAGCCCGCAATTAACTAAATTAATATCAAAACAATAGTTTACAATAAATTATTAGTAATATATATAAAATATGAAAAATTATTTAAGCAAATAATTAGCATTAATTTTTGTTTCAGTTAGTGTGTCAATTCATATGAGGTGGTATTATAACATAAATTTAAGTATTGTATTGAAAATAAGATAATGAGTAATGTATTTATTGTGTAGAGATCTCCCAGAGAGAGAGAGAGAGAGAGAGAGAGAGAGAGAGAGAGAGAGAGAGAGAGAGAGAGAGAGAGATTGTTTCTATAAAAACAATTGTATTTCAATAAAAAAACAAAATATAATTTTACTAATAACCAAACTTTTAAATAAATGACAAATTAAGCCTTCAATTCAATGTTATATACTAAATAAAACAGTCTCATAATCACAATTATATATATTATATATAATACAATATAAAATTTATATAATTAATAATAAAAAATATTATCTATAGCTTTTATATTTATTTTATTAGAAATATATATAAAGTTCCAAATAACTAATTTTAATTAATTTAATTAATGTATTTTATTATTTTGTTTAAATAATAATATATTTTATATTTTTGCAATTACTTGATTATATTTAATGTATTGATTTTAGTATATTATATCACAAACTAAATTCATATTAATTTTATAAATTTATTTGTGTAATATATAATTTAGGTAATAAATATGTACAATATTGTATATTATTTATTATATGAATCAATTTTAAATATCATAATATTTTACAGATATCTATGCAAAAAAACTTGAATTTTAACAATTTTATCAATATTTTTCCACATCAGAGATGATAAGTTGTTAGTAATATATCATAATTTAAGTGTTATTGCATAATATAGTCATATAGATAAGTCAATCAATCATTTTAACTAATATTAAACAATAAATTGAAATTATCAATAATTTTATATTTTTCTTTTATTTAAAATAATGATTTTAAAATAATAAATCAATTGAAATATTCAGTGAACCGGAATAATATACTGTATTATATGTTAAGACTAGAAAGCAGTTTCGGTTTTTTTTATTTATTTCGGTATACACTTCATGAATATTCTTAAATTTTAAATATTTATAGTTTGACTGTAATATTGAATAATAATAATAATAATATATTGTATTTTGCATCATTTAGTATACTAATACTGTAACCTAACCTAAATGTAATATTATTAATAATACCTTATTTACAGTAATATAATATAAACTATTTCAAGTATTATCTTAACGTCTACTGTGTATCAAAAATAAATGTTTATATCTATACACTATTGGAAAAACTAAACGTTATATGATTGATATCATAATATCATAATTAATTAGATTTAAGTAATACAATATACTTTTTGACACTATTTAGATAAAATTTTTGAATCAATTAAGAAAATGGCAAATTAAGAAAAAAAATAATCAAAATTATATTTTGGTTTGGTTTAAAATAGTTTCCAAGTCTATTATAATCAATATATCATAATAAAAACAGCTTAAAATTGCATAAGAAAATGATTGTGTGATAAATGATTTATTGTCTTATTTTTATAGCAAAATATTTAAAAAAAAGATACATACCATGCAATCTCTTTAAATCAACACATTATTGTCTCAAATTACAACATTTACATAAAAAAATTGAATGTTTCAATTTTAGCTCAATTTTTGTATAATTTAAATAATGAGATTTTTTGAAGATATTACTTTCAATATGTATGCGATTAAGTAAATTGATTTAAAGTAAACAAAAACAAAATAATTATTTTTTAATATTGAAATTTTAGTAAAACATTGAAAGCAAAAAATAATTAACTCTATAAAATCTATTTAAAAATAAATATCGCAAATAAGAAAATTAATTTTACATTAAATTTATATAATGTTAATATTTTATAAAAATAGTATTACATTATAAAATATATCATATCAAAAAATATAGATTATATATAAATTATATATGATAAACTGCTAACAGTGATGCTAATAATAGGTTACATTAATTTTTCTATGTCTTTCTAACTAAAATTATTTAGCTTTATTTTAAAACAAAAAGTTTACATAAATTAGTATAAAATTTTGGCACCTCTTTATTTTACCGGTATATATATACCAATTTATATATATATATATTGTCAACATAAGCATAAGTTACGGTATATATCAAACACTGTTTGTTACTAATGTTTTTTAATTGAAACGTTACACAAAATTTATATTTAGTTTATATATATATTATCTTATTTAGAGAGAAAAAAAACTAAAGACTAAAATAATGTTAGGTTTTGTTGTAATTGACTTTTTTTTATTATTTGTTTCGCAATATTGAGATTTGCATTCATTATTTTCTTTTCACTCAATTAACACTATTGAACATAACTTTTTATTTTTGTTTTGTTTGTTTCTTATTATGAATTCAACAAAAATATATATATATATATATAACAATTTGTTTGTCAATTAGTGAAAACAATTATATAAATAAAATAAGTTTCAAGTTTTGTGAGGCCCCAGACACCAACATTGAGACACAATTTGTTTAATTAGATTTCTATCACTATATGTATATTACTTTTATTATACATATCTATGGTATTCAACATTTTTATTTTTATAATGTTATTTATAATAAGATATGAAATGTTAATATAATGTATCTAAAGTTTAATTTTATAAATTAGAAATTTTGCCAAATAAACTATATTTTTTGATAGAGTAATTTTGTACAGTACTATATACAGTATATATATATAGTATAATCTAATATTAATTCATAACTTAAAAATAAAAATAAAATTTCATATCTTAAATTTAGAATAAGTTATGTTAAATATTTAGTTTAATGAAATTCATTATGTATATATTTTATTACAATTACGTATAATAATAATTATTATAATTATAAAAAATAGTAAAAATTATAATAATAATTTTATAAAATAAGATTAATTAATAATACTTATTAACATTAAAAATAATAATAATAATTGTTATTATTTCAGATATTTCTTTGTATTTTTTATACAATTTATAAAATATAGACTTGATGATAGTAATTTATTTCTATTTATTATTATTTTATTATTATATATACCGGTAGTAATCTATAATAAGGATAATTATTTATATTTATATACTGTATATGAATGTTAGGCAAACCGGATAATATTCGTTAGACATTATGCTTATGTTTTGATAAGAATATAGAATTTTTGTTAATGTTTTCTCTCATTTCCAGTTAGGAAATAATATGCAAAACTATATTATATATTGTTTGGTAATAATAATAATAATAATAATAAAAATAATAATAATAATAAGCAAAATCTCTATAACAATAAATAAAATATAATATAGACTAATGTTTTCAAGTTTATTATAGATTATTCTTATAATAATAAAAAATCAATTAACTTTATTTGTGACTATAAGTCCACTGGTTTCTCATTTGAGATAATAATTTTTAAAATTATTATATATTACTGTTTCTAATAGACCTTATTATTGATTAGAGTTTTAGATATCGGATTAAATTACAATCGTTTTAATCTATTATTTTTAACTAAATGTTTTAATTAACTCGTTTTTTGTTTGTTGTTGTTGTTGTTGTGTATATATTCTATGACATTATTAAAATAGTAAATTATTGTACATTTAATACTGTTATTAACTAAGTTATAAAAGAGCCATAATAAAAATTTATTTTGTGTTAATTAAGATAAATATGATTCTAATTAATATAATCAACATTTAAATACATAGTTTTTAAAATAATTATTATACTCCGATATATAATCTAAATTTAAATTAATAATTATTATATATAACATTGTGCAATAAATTTTATATTAAACAAGATAATATTTTTTTATGTAAAAAATATAGTAGACAACCATTATATTGTCTAATATAAATTTATTAAACCTGCTTAAATAATTATTTATATCTACAGATTTATATAAATAATTTAATTTATAAAATTACACATGTTAAATTAATATGTTAATAATTTAAAAGCAAAATTATTAATAAAATTTTATCATAAAACTTTACACCTACACATTATTCATTATATTATTATTTATTGTATAAATTTTATACGCTTTATGTGATTTATGTAAAAAACAAGCAGTGAATTGAATCGATATATATATTTGATAAAACTAAAAAAGTTTTTGTAATGCA